TAGTGGCCCTACTACAAAAATACAATTTATAAATACAATTTATAAATACAATTTTAGGATTTTGACGACACGGATTTACACCACTGTCCAACACAGACTTTCACAGACACAATAAACACAAAACACATTGGTATAACAACTGATTGCATTAATGTAAATTTGTAACATTCGATAAACAACACTAAACTACAGTATGCCCTACATAGTGAACTGGCGCACATTTTGAAAACCTTATTTGCCTCTCATGAGTGAGCTGAATGAATACCACCCTCAATATTTCTAAAATGAAGAAAGAAAAATTTTAAACAAGATAAAACATTCATTATTCAAGTGTGTACAAGTTGTCAGGTTTTGCCTTTCCTTCACCATTTTTTCCAAATTCTGAGCACGCTTTTCTTTATCCACACAGCAAAGACCCACCGCAAGTCTGCCAATGCAGATGGTATGGAAACGTGGTTCACCTCTGACTGCTAGTAAACATGGAACTTCATTTGAATACAGTAGACTTCCACATCTGTAGAAACACAGGCTTGCATAGACTTGCTCCTAGTGCCTGGCTCATTGAAAAAGGAGAAAAACTTATCCTTGGGAAAGCAACATTTCAAATGTTAAAAAAGAAGTTCACTTTCCAATAAAATTAACCAAAAAAGGGATGTCAAATAGTTTTCATACATTTATGAGGAGTAGAAAGTTGCACAAAATGTGTTCCTTGGAAAAAAATTTACTTCATGGGCCTAATTGTCAGAGAATCACTCCCTACAATATACATCATGTACAGTGTCTCTGTTTTGTACCCCTTGTGTGGGAATATGCAGAGTCCATACCAGTGTTGTAGTCGAGACCGGATAGTCCGAGACCGAGACCAAGACCGAGACCTGAAGATTCGAGACCGAGACCGAGACCGAGACCAGCCCCTTCAAGGCGGACCGAGACCGAGACCGAGACCAATATGGTCCGAGACCAAGACCAAGACCGAGACCGCTGATAATAAATAACAATAGTCGAAGTTATTATAGTTGAAAAATGTAACCTTTCTATTCACAAAGAATACAGACCAAAATTTTGACCAGTGGCAGTGTTGACAAATTGATACATGACACCTTACTTGAGCAAAAAGTAGTTACACTTAAGAAATATGGGCTTTGACGTGTTGTCTGCACCAAATCGTGAAAAAAGTAAAAAGTTAAAGGTAGATGTTTCATCTGTTATAGGAACTCGGATCCTAAACTCCACAGTCACCCCTTGGTTTCAGCTATGACTTCTAACGGATATTTAAAGATGCAATTTTAATTTTACATTGTGCCTCTTTTTTCCTAAAATAAATAGGACTTAACTTCTAACAAGACTTGTGTACTTGATTTTTAAAAAAAATGGGAGCTAGAACATGTTGAATTAATTTTTAAATTTCTGTCATAGAATGTGGACTTGTACATGTAGACCCACAAGTTGCGAGGTGATAGCCAGAATGTGCCAGATATGGATTTTTAATTTTTTTCTGAACAGGATTTTAATTTTTGAGGAATAATGGGGTACTTCAAAATGAGCAGCCAGAAAATGGGGTCTCATCATACACTCTCATGGCAACAGTGAGTGGTAACTGGTAAGAGTGTGTGAGTTCAATGCTAGAAAATCAGGTAGAAAAATTTACTTTTTCTTCAAAATACTGTCCCAAATTAAAGAGAACATTGTGTGGGGTCGAAAATATAACTAATTTGAAGCACCTCGTTTATTATCAGAATACAAAATGCAAGTGATTACGCCAACAGGGGTGGGCTAAACTACAAAATACCCGAAAATGGTTGCCCCTTATTGCATAAATTGTTACAAGTTTATACTTTATGTGCCCGACTCAACAGATAAATGCCGAACTTGTTCCAAATCGTTCAGTGACTGGTACTGCAGCAGCTTTACATGTACTTTGGGGACATTCGAATGTGCAGTCGAGTCCAAACCGACCACGATATATAACAAGCTTGATCACAAAGTGAACACAAAGTAATCGATCGAGCTGTAAAAGCTACATATTGCGGGTCTCGATCCGAGACCAGCCAAAATATCGAGACCAAAGGGGACCGAGACCGAGACCAAGACCGAGACCACAGCTTCCGAGACCGAGACCAAGACCGAGACCAGCAAAAAGTGGTCTCGAGACCGGTCTCGAGACCGAGACCGGTCTCGAGACCTACAACACTGGTCCATACTGGTCAATCAGTGACTGGAGACAAGTCTAATAATTGAAGGTCATCTGTCCTGCCTTAACCCGGGTAACGAACTTTTCAAGTAAATAAAGATAGGTTGTATTTGCTTAACGATATAAAATGTTCACTGCGGCACTGTTTTTCAGAAAGTTCACCAGAATGATGGTCAAAGTTCAAAAGGTTAAAACTCACACATACGTGTAAGTACATGTCTACATCACTACTGCATGCACTTGTCATTTTGTACTTCGGCCATTTTATTATGAACAAGAATTTCTTTTCGTTTGCCTCACATGATTTTCTTATGCTCCAGCTATTTGTACTGACACCAAGCAAAGTCTAATAATATTGACAATACCAGCTGTTATTGTCACACACAAAAATAGTGTAATTGTGATGTGTGTTGCAGGTGTTCATGTGCATGCATACGGTAGTATGACATTAAAGACTTTTAATGTACGTACATGCACATCTCAATATGCTGTTTGCAACTTTGCAGGGATATATTTTAGTAAAACTAGATTTTTAAATACATTATCCTCATGAATGCAAATTAGACACGATACATGTGTTGTGCATATATACATTTGTACAATGTGCAATACACGTATTTCCTTCACGAATCCCTTAACCAGCAAGTTTATGTGAAATAATAGAACGAATTATCTTTTCTTTCTTTTTTATTGTAGTACCTTATCTGTGCAAACATCAATTTCCAAATCGGCACCATTTGATGTAAAATGCGGGTAGGGCCTATATGAAACTTTGTGTCCTTTAGTGACGCACCCCAATTGTTTGCAGAGATGAATGACAAGCAGGTCGCAGCCTTTCAATCTTGATTTGCCGTGAACTTCACATGAACTTCTACTTTGAACCCAGGATGCAAATAATCAGTTGAAATGCATAACTTCCAATCCACAAACAGGAAGTGCCAATGAACTTTTAGGGATTTTGAAAAAAAAATTAGGCAGATTTGTTTGAATTAAACAGGTCAACTATTTAGTGAATACTACAGCAAATACTTTTGCAACAAATTTACAAAAAAAAGGGGCAAAGAAATTTTAAGAAGCGGGACATACAAGTTTTATGGCAATCACAATGCGTTTATTTTGCAGAATGTTTTACTGACATATAAGAAGTGCATTTATATTTTCAATTTTTATTTTTGGATGAAAATATCTCACCTAAGATAATAAGTCTCCTGTTTAGGCCCCCCCAAAAAAGTCTCCAGTTTCTGATATGCGTGCATCAACGTAGTCAAACGTTGTTTTTTTTTCAATGTAAGATGATGTCTAAAAACTGCCAAACTCACTGGTTTGACTGGAATCCTGCTGCTGCACAATTTTAACGTGTTTTCAGACGGGGTTACGATCGAGTATAAGCTTTATGTGGCCTCTCTGGACTCCCATATAATTTGCACTAAATTTAGCCGGAAACCACTTGCAGTCAATCATCAGACATCAGCCAACATTTGAAGAAAAAAAAAAAAAAAAGCCGCGTCGCCGCACCACTTTTGGGGCAAGCTGCATACTAGAAACCGGAGACCTTTTTTTGGAAAGATTTCCATATATACGAAGTTCACTCAACACCCTGTGTACAAACCCTATGAGAGTGGACTGAAAAATTCTAAGTGTTTTCTAAGAAAATGCTCGTATTTTCTCACTGCTCAAATTGACTTTGATGACATGAAATTGCTATCTGGGGGCTTGTTAGTCAATACAGAGGAAAATTAGTGAACTTCTTATATGGAAATCTTTCCTTGATTTATTCTGCGAGTCACGCTCAGGTACATGTAGTAGCCCACACTCGGTGCTTCTTCCACCAATAGAGTTAACAAAATGCTCGTGTGCCTTGTTTTTAAGAACGTGTGCAGCATGATCGTGGTTCCACCTCAAAAGATTTCTTCTAATTTTGTTCGACGAATTAGTCTTAACAAACATATATATGAAAACAAAACAAAACACCCTGACCCCCTCTTAAAAACAAACAAACAAATAAACAAACAAATAAGCTACAATTTACTTTTTCATTGTCTGCACCATAGTTTTATTTTGCAAGTTTTCCTTATCTTTTATGAAATGATTGTGCAAATTAACTCTTCCTCCACATTTGTTGGAGTACTAAAAGCATGCATCAAATCCTCTGAATTTGATGCAGCCAAATAATCTCATACAAAGCATTTGTGTCACGTCAGTCAGATCATAGAGCAAGGAACTTACAGAAATAATAACTGAATTATAATTTTGCATTGAATCACAATTGAAAATTACTAGTCCAGTACAACATGCAGGAAGATTTCTTTGGTTGTGTACAAACTTTAGGGGGTGCGATTTTGTTGGACTTAAGCCCGGTTCATACTCGGCGCGAAAGCGAAAGCGAACGCGAATTTGTGACGTCACGGCAAGTATTCGCACTGCAAATTCGCAAAAATTGAACACATTTCAACTCGGGCGAATTTCACAGCGAATGTTTCATGACTTCAAATTTGCTTCGCATTCGCATTCACGTGGAGTATGAACCGGGCTTCATCATTTCATGAGGCGTCGCGTCGGACCTATGAGGTGTCGGACTTATGAGCGACACATTTTGATCAGACAATTTCTAGAAAGAGTTAGAATTAAAAATATTAGTAGTTTATTTTATGATACAAAGCGAAGATCCAAATAACCAAGTTCAACATTATTCTATAATTATGTAGGAGGCCCATGTTGACGTTAAAAACAACTTTATAGGAAGGACATTGAAAGGGGGTCACTCACCAACTAAGCAATCTTTGCAAAAATGCAGTGCTTAATTCCTTACCTTGAAAACCTGAGTTGTCATCAGCATTCGCAGAAGTGTCCAGACCACGGCCAGCATGAAAGGCAACTTCAGTTCCTGCCATGAGATGGGCATGCAGTACATCCTCAGGTCGCCCAGGAATCCATCAGGTTGGGTCGGCGCCTCGTGGTAATAATCCCACAAATCAGGGACCACAACGGTGACAAGTCTGTGATACGCCGGGTACACAACGATGCTCTGAAGATCCATGTTCGCCGTCAGGTTGAACATGGAAAATGGCATATTCTGCCCCCAAATCCACACAAAAATGGAACTAACAAATTCTTCGTGCTTCCTTTCGTCTTATACTACGGATTCAAGATTTTGTGTTTGTGTGTGAATTTGATTGCGAGAACAAATTAACCGTCTTTCTCGCGTTAAAAAAAAAACAATGACTCGGTCTTGCGGTTGCACTTAGGTTAGTTTTACGCTTCTGCAACATGCCGACATTTCCGCATTATCCGAAGTAATAATTTGTTCACCGTTATGTCAAGAGGCTTATAATGCTAGCTTACAATGACAGCTACGCCAGTTAGCAGTAAATAACCAGATTAAGAGACAAAATCGGCTGGGTAAATGATCAAACACTTTGTTGTCCACCGTACCGGCCACTGCGACATGCGTTTTGCACATGCACAGTTTACAAGTGCGCATGCGGTTATTTTTGTGCTTGTCCGTTCATTCAATGCAAATGATGTTGATGACGAATACCGTATCTGTGTGACCCCGATATTAATGGCGTGACCTCGCATCAGCTGATCGTAAAATAAAATAGTGACGTAAATAAAACCTGTCAGCATAATCATGCGGCTAGTAGTTTTTTGTGCAGTGTGTGTGTGTACACGCTCTAAGGGTGCTTTGAAAACAATGTCAAATTAACAAAGTTCAGGGCCAAATAACATGCAAGCCGACATCACTGGGGTTTCTCTCAAACAAAAATTAAATTATTGTCTTGTCCTTCATCTTTTTATTTCTTTTCAATTTTGGGTAGACTAGCCAATTAAATTTTTAATATTCACACCAAAACAAAATCACCTCCCGAAAAGTGATAGTTCCCAAGCCTGCATGTAGCCATTTTACAAGTGGCATCCTTCCACTTTCACAGGCAAATAGGACCCATTTTTCATCCGTGATTTTATCAAGCCTGCCCTCAGATGGAAGCCCAAAAACCAGGGAGTTGATCCTTGGGTATATGTACCCAATTCCACCGTTTTTAAAGCCAAACGGTCTCCGTTTTCAAAAGATATTGTGTGGGGGGGGGGGAGTTTTATGCTAATGAGCTCGCGTAGAAATTCTCACTTGAATTAGTTCAGTGCACCCTGCAGGCAGGGCCGACAGAATGCGTAATTTTAACAGCGCCACCAGAGTTTCGGAATAGCACATTTGGGGAACAAAATGATAGGGGGCCTACAACAAAAACTTCTTTCATGAAATATTTTCCAAATTGTGTTTCCTTTGTCAATACCATTAGAGCATGGAGCTAGAGGAAACAAAGAGCAAGGAACAGATGGAGGAAACGACGACAAACGTCCACTCCAGTCTTCATCATGGGCGTCGGGGGCCGGGGGGGGGGCGCTTCCCCCTCCTTACCAATCACGTCATTGAATTATTCGTACCAACGCACGGCGCGCGCGTGGCGCGCAGCGCACAGTGCAATGGAAGTTATGCACTGTAGATAGAACTTCCATTGCACTGTGTCACTGCTGCTGATGGTGGCGCTGTTTTAAATCGAGATAAATTGAATTCTCAACATTGATCTCCATATATGGAGATCAATGATTCTCAACCTGTTGAACAGTTTGCATTAATATAAATATGATGAACTTGTCGAACTTTTAAACAGTTTTTAACCTGAATAAATTGGCTATTAAAAGTCAACCAATCAGATGACAAGGATTTATTCAGGTGTTATATAAAACAAATAATGAATGTTTCACGTTCGTGCAATGGAAAGAATAATTTCATTCGGTGACAGATGAAATGTTCCATTCCACTCGGCTTCGCCTCGTGGAATGGAACATTTCATCTGTCACCGAATGAAATTATTCTTACCATTGCACTCACAAACATTCAGTATTTGTATAATACTAGCGGCAAATGGGAACTGCTATTTTGTTCGATCTAAACGGAAATTTCCAACGATGTGTTGGAAAGGCCTTCTTTCATTGATTTCTTCAAAACTTCGGACAGCTTGCCAGAAAGAATAATATCACAGGGAGTTTAGTCCCATTACTATCTTTAAACCAAGTATTCAACAATAATTACGTCAGTTACTTTTTGGAAAGCTGCAAAAATGATGGACTGTATGTAGCTTTAACATGCATGTACGGCACGGAGACGCTCGCGTTTGCTTCACACGCGACGCAGATAGACCATGATAGAGATAGACCATGTGCGCGCGGCGCAGACGCATAGATTTTATTCTGTGATGTGGACGATGATCGAACTAAACGCGTTCATCAAATTTAAATCGACATTGCACGTTTGCTCCAAAAAAAGATCACTTGCATGACTTGCGCCAAGCTATCACAGTATTGATCAGCAGTGTCGCGTACTTCATTCAATTTCGCAGTTGGCCAACAGATAAAGCTGTCGTTTGTTTCCGCAGCGTTTCGCACAATTTCTGATTGTTTTCTGTCAGACCGAAAAATAGTTACTAAGATGGCGATGATCGCTGGCAGAGTGGCGGGCAAAATGGCGGCCAAACAGGCCGGCAAGCAAGTGGCCAAGAAACAGATGAAAAAGCAAGTGAAGAAAAAGGTTCAGAAGAAAGTCCAACAAAAAGTAGAGGACAAAGCGCAGGAGAAACTACAGGAGAGGATGCAGGAATCCATGGACAAGCGGAGGGAAAAGAAGGCCGGAAAGAAAAAGAAAAAGAAAAAAAAGAAAAAGCCGAGGTTTATGGGACCAGTTAAGATGGACATTAGAGACGAGCTTGGAATTGGCGACATGGATATTGACATGGATGACATGAAAGGTATGATGATGGACCAAATGAAAGGACCCAAGTTAGGCCCCGGACTCTTCAAATCTGGTGGACAGGTATGTTGAACTAGGCCTATATATTTTAATTTAAAGAAAATCTCTGGACGAAACACTCTTTTGCTTTTTGTAGGCTAGGTCCATCATAGGGCAAAATTTGACATTCTGAACTCCAAAATTAAACCGAATGCCTTGCAAACTGTTTTGGGCTTACTGGACTCTCTCAACAATAGTTAAAAACCACCTGGAGTTTCGTAGATAGAGGGAAGGGTTTTAATGTTTCAAATTTTGGGGTAAAACGACAATGAAGACGACAACACGCAACGTGCACCACATATTGCGATCACCGCGCGATGCATGATGATGTGAAATCGCGTTGATTCACATACGACTTGATTTGAACTGATAGGGGCCTATGGCGTATTTTTTTTTTCGATTACAAATTCGCATTTTCTACCGAAAGATACTGTTCAAAATTGCAAAAAATATACATAGGGTCGTTATAAAATGTTGATTTATTCGGTTGAGTACCGGGACGAATCAGAATATCTACTTTAGCATTGGTAAAGGGCCTATGTAAACGATGCGAGGTTAAGTGGTTCAGGGCGCGTAATTTTTATTCCTAGGAGGGTTAGGGGCAATGTCATGAATAATTCATGTTTATCCATGAGAACGGACAATGACATCAACAGCACTGTTGTTAGTTACTCAACTAGTTACAATACATTAAACCATTTTAAAGAACGGTTGTCGTCGAGCTACCACACAGTAGCCTAGTGGATAGCGAGATGAGCTATGGATACAAAGATCCCTGGTTCGAATCCACGTCGTCGCTGCTCATTTTCATCAGCTATTTTTCTTCTCCAAATTTATCACTGAGATAATTTTAAATTAAGGGGAAAATAGAATGAGAACCTAAGTCTTGCAATGATTCAAAGGAAAAACTGAATTATTCATGACATTGTCCCTAACCCTCCTAGGAAAAAAAATTACGCGTTCAGGGCGGGTCATTTAAACAGGGAGTCACTCATTGTGTTCGGATTGAAGGTAGAGCACTTCACGCTTGCGAGCAGCAACGAACGAACACACACAATTTGTATCAGGCCTACCAGTACTGTATATCCAAAGACGCCCATAGTCAGGTGATAGTATTTATTGAGACAGTTCCCATTTTATGCAACGAAGACGTCGTCCAACCTGGGCTACCTTTCCACTTATCCATAAATGTTTTTTGGTTGTGGTTTTTCGCATCTGGCAGTCAACGCAGCAATGGGTTTGAATGCGATCCTAAAAGTAGAACGAATATACAGAAACGGGCCCGAACAACACTATAAAAGATGAATATTTGCTTATGCTTATCTAATTCTGTAATGACCTGCCGACTCAAATAATGGAAAGGCTCTTAGGCCCAAAACTTGCTTATCTCAAGCCTTGGCAACGTTTAGGCCTAAACTGTCGAAAGTGTTGCGTGTACAAGAATGTGAGGGCCAGCACGCCCGGTTTTGCAGGCTGGTTTTGTGCAGAACGGTGTCGTTTTAGAAGAGTGTACCTAGGTTGCAAAAGCTATTTTGGAATGCTAAAAACACCATAAGGATATTACAGGAGGGGGGGGGGGGACCGTACACATACACAATCGCCGTTCATGCCATGCCAATTATTACTTCCAACAGTTGATTTATATAGGTCTCACTCGCATGGGGGTCATTCCATGTCAGACCAACGCACTTTTTTACCTCATGTCTTCCGATTTTAATAAAAATTGCTGTGCTTGTAGGTCCTAATGAGCAATGAATACACACCAATTTTTAGCCCGATCCGACCTACCACGTGGTCAGGGCAGAAGCCACAAAAAAAATGGCATTTTTAGAGTAAAATACCACCCTTTTGGTATAAATATGTCAAAACTATGGCAATTTTCATCGAATATATGTGAATTTGGTATTAAAATAATGAGGATTGCATGCTCAAAGCACTATTTTTGTCAAAATTAAATTTTGTGAAAAGTAGGTCACATGACCTTTAATATGCTATCGTGACCTTTGACCCATTTTTTGTAATAATGTATCATTCCGAAAATCAACGAAATAAAAATAACTTGCTAGAGCATGTCTTCCTCTATCAGAATCTACTAAAAATCAGTTGGGGTCTTCAAAATTTACAACTTTATGACTATTTTTGTACAGTTGGTAGGTTACAAATGAGTCAATTTATAGACTTTACATAAGAAATACACCAACACAACTTACTATTCTGTTTCTAAAGTTACTAAAATATATCTAGATTTTTATGTATAACGTACAAAGCCAGGAAAAACAAAATTCTACCTTCTGATTCCAAAGAAACTGTCTTATCAGAATATCTGGACTCAGAAGTGTGCTAACCACTAACAATAACCAGGCCTTCACCCAGTACAGCGGACTCACGTCCAGGTGAAATTCATCTCAAAGGAACAAAATGCGATGTCTGTGAGAGTCATTAAAGTTCAAGAAGCACAGTGATGAATGAGTAAAGGTAACTTTGATTGTAATATTAAGTATTATCTTCAAGCAAACTTGAATCCTAGACCCTGATTAGTCCATCTATAGCAACAACTGTGTGATTTTATATAATATTGCACAGCTATATTGCACCCCAGATATTAAAAATGTACATGTACATATATGTTGTGTTATTTCCTGCAGAACGGACCAATACACTACATGTATGCACGTACATCTTCACCGCGTGTACGCATTTGATATCAAGTTTACTTGAAGATAAATTGGTTATAAATCCCACTTGCGCTCGTGGAACACGGAATTATGTAGTGCATGGAGTGGCATATGGGTCACAGCAGCATTGCATTATTTCATATTCCAAGCGCGCTCGTGGGGTAACTAATTATCAGTGGCACCAAGGAGGGGGGGGGGGCCTTGAACCCACCCCAACATTGTCAATTTGTTTGTTTGATTTTAGGCTAGTTTTTGTTGGTCCAATCTTTTACAGAAATTTGAACAAAAAATTATTTATGACCCCCCCCCCCCCCCCCCCCCCCACCAAAAGCCAAATCCTGGGTGCGCCACTGCTGATAATTTACACTACGAGTCTGGTTAGACCTCATCAGCCCTCAGAATGAGAAATTCACAAACCAAGATATATTTTAGTAACTTTAGAAACAGAATAGTAAGTTGTGTTGGTGTATTTCTTATGTAAAGTCTATAAATTGACTCATTTGTAACCTACCAACTGTACAAAAATAGTCATAAAGTTGTAAATTTTGAAAACCCCAACTGATTTTTAGTAGATTCTGATAGAGGAAGACATGCTCTAGCAAGTTATTTTTATTTCGTTGATTTTCGGAATGATACATTATTACAAAAAATGGGTCAAAGGTCACGATAGCATATTAAAGGTCATGTGACCTACTTTTCACAAAATTTAATTTTGACAAAAATAGTGCTTTGAGCATGCAATCCTCATTATTTTAATACCAAATTCACATATATTCGATGAAAATTGCCATAGTTTTGACATATTTATACCAAAAGGGTGGTATTTTACTCTAAAAATGCCATTTTTTTGTGGCTTCTGCCCTGACCACATAATAGGTCGGATCGGGCTAAAAATTGGTGTGTATTCATTGCTCATTAGGACCTACAAGCACAGCAATTTTTATCAAAATCGGAAGACATGAGGTAAAAAAGTGCGTTGGTCTGACATGGAATGACCCATGGGCGTCCTGAAAGGGGGGGGGGGGCCTGGAAAAGATGGGGGAAAAAAGGAGAAAACAAGAAAAAAGAGGCACGAAGTCATATTGGTGTAAATTTAAGGGATGGGGGTGGGGGCAAAATGTCCCTGCCCCCCTCTAAAATCGATAAATTGAGAATATGTTGAGAAATACAGGAATTTTTTGGGAAAAATATGTTTTGCCCGCCCCCAAAAATCCTGGCGATGTCCATGCGCACTCGGAATTCATGCAGTTTCATTTTAGCGTGTAGAAATGTATGTTAACATACGGAGAGATCATAAGAGAGTCCCGCAATTGTTTTTTTTAATTTTGGTGTAAATTTTGTTTTCATAAAAATAACTTTTTTTCACAATTTGCAAGGGGGGGGGGGGGGGGGGGGGGTGTCCCACGAATTTGACTATTCAGCAGAGCACGGACGTGCAATTTTTGACTCCGGCGACACATTTTCAAAACTACAGGGGTCTGATGATGACCTTGGAGACGATCGTGAACCGAGGAAGGGTGTGCGGTTCTCGATCTTTGCTCTGTGCCGCTGCGTCGGGAAGTTCTATCGCTATCTGGGCCGATACCTCCCCTGCTGCCGGACTGGGACATTCGCCAACCAGATCACAAAGGTATACTGTGGGCACCATCTTCAGACACCTTCCGTTTACGAAAAAAACCCCGATGAAACTATATTGCCATTCAATCATCACAATAGCTGGCCCTGAAAAACAACAGGAATGTAACGTTTTAAGGCATAGTTTTGAGTGTAGAGTGAAATTATGGGGTAACTGCCAAAATAACAAACACGGATTCGAAGTGGCCATAGTTCTAGCTCAGCTCAGGCACAATGCTTAGTGAAGTAAGAATAACCGCAGATTTACCCGGCATTTACTTCTTTAAAAATTGTTCAGGAAGCCTAATATTGCTTGACAAAATACTGTTACATTTTGAAAACATGGCCGGAAAAAGAATTTCTTGAAGTTGTATGAGGAAGTCATTTTGAATTATTCAACTGTTTTAGAACGGAAAAGGTATAGAGGGACCTAATTGAATTATTATCCCTTCAACTACAGAATGTGGCAGGATTCTTTTGCGGTCTGCTGTTCCTTGCGATATTCTACCCTATCTTCATCTTGGCGCTCAGGCAAGAACCCAAGCACGCCGCTCTCAGCGTCTCTTTAATCGGTCCAGTCGTCTGCTTCGGCATGGCGTTCTCCCCCAGGATTCGCTGCGTCATGCTGCTCATGATCCCGGGACTTTTCTCAGGTGCAAGAAAAAATCCATTTTTTAAAATTCTATATATAGAGGGTGAGTAAATCTTACGAAACCCAAATGTCGGGACTATTATTTTATTGAAGATCTACATGTAGCACTTTCAAGATGTAGCCTGACATTTGGGTTTCGTTTTTTTACTCGCTTTGTATACATTCATGATGTAGCATGTAGAATTAGAAATTTGGTCTACTTAATCTAAATTTGGTGATTTTTATCTCAGCTCTTAATTGACATATTTATTTTAAGGGAAAATATTTTTTATTCCAACATTTCATATTTCCAAGACCGAATTTGGTTAAGGATTCTGGGTCAAAAACTGTTTGAAAGTCTTTCCCTCTAACTTTCAGTCATCCTATAATTTGATAAAAGCCACCAATACAGTTTACTTATGATAGGCCGACTGTCCCTAAGTCTGTTCCAATCTCTTTTTATGTTAAGGTAGAGGCCTTTCTAAAGGCAAGGCAAAAATGACAAAACTAGTGATTGGGGTGGCCAACAATCCCCTTTTTCTCTCACTCATGTCAAAACATGGAAAATCCCCAAATTTTCCCTTCCTCAAAAGCACCAGGACAATATTGCAATTCTCCCAAATTTCTTCTCGCAGGCATTTTGCCTCTGTATACATCAGCCAATCCCATACTTCAAACCCCGCAAACTTGCCATCTCACTCTGAAAAAATCTGAAATCCTCCAAAAATGTAAAGATACACGAGTTTACTAAAAAAGAATTTGATTCATGATGGTTTTGTCTGCGTGGGGCCAGGGGAAGTGTGGCCTAGTGGCCGGGGTTTGTGACTCACCATCAGGAATCTATGGTGTCCTCAAGGGCGGATCCAGAACACAATTTTGGATTGGCCCAAAAAAAATTTGGTCACCCAAAATGTGGGTCAAAAAAATTATGGCGTGGGGTTCGGGGCCCCCTTAAGGGCCCCCCAAAAAATTAGGATTCTAGATGCTCTGTGGTGCGATCTGAGGCAATTTCTGACCACTTTAGCCAATGTTTTTTGAGGAAAAGATATTGGTGTACTCATTGTCTTCCTTTATTGCGACGTCACATAAAAACAAAATTGGTTTCGTGGTTTTTTTTTTGGGGGGGGGGGGATGGGGCATGGCCCCCTTTGGCCCCACTGGATCCGGCCTTGTGTGTCCTTGGGGAGTCCACGCCCCCCCCCCCACTTGTTTCTCCACCCAGGAGCAAAAATAGGTATACCACTATTAGCTATCATTCTCAGTTGTTTCATGCCAAGGACTAGAGACTTTACTTTTTAAGCTCTGGCAGGAGCTTCTATACATGTCACTTGGTGGTCGGTTGGATGGTATATGTCTGTCTGTCTGTCTGTCCCCAGAAAATTGACCAAAAGTATGATGTTCGGTGTTCCATTCGTGCCATCAGCGTCGAATTTTTCGGCGTTGCATTATTCAGCTCTGGCAGGGATCATTTTGAGTTTCATGCAAGACTTTCATGCAAGAAGCAAGACGGCCAGAGTTTATTCAGCACTCACACTTGTTACGCAGGCTTGTCTGTGTGGCAAACATCAATCAGAAGAGGTACTTTTTGAGACTTTCTTTTCTGTACCACACACTGCAGGGAAGGGCAGGACAATCCTAATGGCCTACGGATTCCTCTTGGTGCTAAGCGGTCCCGTGGAGAACCTGAGCTACAACATGGATATGGCCGGCCAGAGTCAGGTCTGCGGCAGCGAGCTAGCCATGAACCAGACCTACAAGCTGTTCCAAGTAGTCACAGCACCAATGGCGTGTAAATAAAAACACATTCAAAGGGGCAAGGTGAAGGGTACAGTTGTGGGAAAGGGTGGAAGGAGAAGTTACCACGTCCCAAAATTTTCTGATACCAAAAAAACCTGACTATTTTGTGCAGGACTTGGCAATGGGCCTTTTTACACTAATACTTGGACATTTTTAGCATCAATCAAAAGTCCAAGACCTCAAATCAAGCCGTCTTGTTTCTCAGGTTTTATTCTCACTGTACCATGACATCTTTGGAAGTGGGAGAAAGACACATCTACAACAATGGAATGGAAACAGTTTAAGCAAATAAATGAGCCAGCAGATTTGGGCACTAAGGCCCCCCCCCCCCCAAAAAAGTCTCCAGTTTCTGGTATGCGCGCGCGTCGCCGTAGCCATGTGCCTCGGCAAAATTTTCTTCAATGTAAGATGATGTCTCAAAACCAAAAGCCAAACTCACTGGTTTGACTGGAATCCTGCTGCTGCACAATTGTAACATGTTTTAGGTGGGGTTAAGATCGAGTATAAGTTTTATGTGGCCTCTCTTGGCTCCCATAATATTTTTTGCACTAAATTTAGTCGGGCACCATATGCAGTCATCAGCCGACATTTGAAGAAAAAAATGGAAAAAAAAAACAGCTGCGTCACCGCACCACTTTTGGGGCAAGCTCCATACCAGAAACCAAAGACTTTTTATATTTTTGGCCTTGGCCATTAAAGTCTGAATAATCCAAAGAAAAATATCGTTTCAGTTTTGTTTGGAGGGCCGAACCTACCAAAACATTTCCTGTGACTGAACACCCTTCTACAAATTTAGTCTTGGTGATGCATCTCCTTCCCCCCCCCCCCCTTTAATAGCTTTTACAGGTGAAGTCACATCACTGATTGACAAGCTCCGTAGCATAGGGCGTCGAATCAAGGAAGGCTTCCGGGCCATCAAAGATGCCATCAAAGCTTTAGGTAGGTCAATCAAGCATGCGACTGGCAGGTAAGGAAGTGACTTTGCATTTAATTTTGTAAATGTTGAGCAAATAGTTAAATAAGGGAATAAATATGTGCTTGGCCGGTTTTAAACACAATTATCCGAGCTGAATTAATTTCAGTGATTTTGTTCAACTATTTCACCTCAAGTTTTTCGAAACACCCCTCTAGATATATTATGGTATGTCTTTCTTGCAAAAAGTCTTTAACAACTCCTTATATTGCGTGCGTCGCACGTACTGCAGCTGTGCCGGTGTATTGTGAATTTAGGACTATGAAATAGCTGAATCACTGGTAGTATTGACCTATCGCCGTTTGCGAGTTAGCCACGCCCCTTAGACAACCCCATGGAACTTTTGTAAGTTGAGTTTTGTTTGTCTCAAATTTTGGGCATTCCGCGTTCATTTGTTTAACATGTAAATTGGACAAAATTTCACAAGCTGCGTTGACGCGATTCTACCGCGATAGGGCAATTGACCTATTGCCATTTGTGAGTTGGCCACGCCCCTTGCACAACCCTATAGGATTTTTGTACACTAAGTTTGTTGTCCACCGATCCTGTACTTATGTTGGAAATAACCTTATACCCTCCCACTGTCACCCACTCCCTCGCTCCCCCGGTCAATGTTGTTCTCTCCAGCTGATGGAGCATACACCGCACAAAAAGAGCCAACATTGAGCGGGGGTTGGGGGCCCAGCGAGATTTGGCAAGGAATGTGGGTTGAAAAATGGTATTGCCAATTTTAGTAGTTCAGATAGTTGTTTAGTATACTTCTCCCTGCTCCTTTGGTCCACTTTTTGCCTAATTGGAACCTTTTGTAATAATTTCACCACAGGGAATGCCACTGCGGAGTTTTTCGACTGGGTGGGGTCAATGGTGGATAAGTGCAACGAGAAGCTGGGGATACCAGAGAGAAGGTGCCGGCTGGCCTTTGATCATGCTGCCTTCATTTGCCGCAGGGACGCCTGGATCTTTCAATTCGTATGCGGCATCATTGATCTGGTCTCTAATGTGTGTTACATAGCTGGCCGTAAGTAACTAAAATTTCTTTTAAAAAAAATCCATCTTATGAAAAGTTTAATTGAGGTACCCGCTGCTACGTGTGTACGTCAGACTTGAACCAGCCAGCACATCCCGCAAGCTCCGTGGTCGAGTGGCAAGACGTCTGCACTAGAAAGCAGGAGGTCCTGGGTTTGAGTCCCACCCGAGTGATTTTTCCCGACTTTCACTCAGGAGGTATTACACACTGAGTATACATTGCTTACATTTCGATGAAGGGCAAAACCTTATACTGAACGAAAGTTTCGTTCATAATTTATAGTATGTATATACACGTTTTTCTTAACAACACGAATACAAAGGAATGTAAGGTAAGTCTGGGTTTGTCTCTGCATTCAATAGGCGACCTTGAACAATAGAGGACAATAGAGTCCCCAAATCCCGAAGGTTCCCAATTTGGCGATGTGTACAAAACATATGGGAGGTCTTCCTAAAAAGTTTATGTACAAACAAAAGAGGGACAATAGGGGGTCCCCGATTGCAGGCATATACACACTTGTACATGTTCTACATTACCACCCCCCCCCCCCCCTAGGACAGACACACAAAGGGAGAACAACAGATCCTATCAGTCCTCGGTAGTTGGGTCTCTTGTTCAAAACAGTCCTTTGTAGTAGTTTTGTGTGCTTAGTCTATGGGAGAGTGTTACATAACAGGGACAAAGGAAAACACAAAGCACTGTCCTCAGGGGTATAGTAAAACAAGAGTGAGTTTGTTTTTGGTGTAAATCGAGGACACACACATGAAACATCATCGGTGAATCGAGGACAGGCTGGAACCAAATCGATGACGACCTCGACTAGAAATCGTGTACAAAACCAATGAGAGCTATTGCGAAAAAGTTAAAGTACCAACAAAGGAAAAGGGAAGAGGAACAAAAGAAAATCCTTGATTTACACCAACATGGGTGTGTTTGTGTGTGTGTCAGTTTGTCTAACAGTCACTATGTGGACATGTGAACAAAAAATGTCCACATAATGCAGGTTGTGTTGATGATATGTGGACTGAGCCGTGTCCACATAACGTTTTGCCCTCTCTGGAAAACAGGTTAAGAGGCATTTTCGGGTTAGGTTTATCTGACACAGAGTGAAGAGAAACATTCATGGAAATCCACAAAAAAAACCAAAAAAAAAAAGGCTTGAAAGAGTTCTCACAGTTCAAGTTATTTTTTTGTACCGTTTTTTTTTAACTACACAAAAACAAGGGAATATGCACATAGAGTATGTAAAACAAACAGGTGCATGCGTGTGTGTGTTCATGAGTTCATCACGCCCTTTGTGAGTGATCTCCCACAACACAAAACAGGTGTTCACCTGTGAAATGAGTGACTTGCCCGTGTGGGCGACAGCTCTGAAGCGGGTGCGGTGAAGCCTCCTCAGTCAAATGTTACAGAGAAACCTGCTCATACAAGTCCATCACAAGTCGGTCACAAGTTAGGTAACGGGTAACAGGGGGTGAGCAGTGACAAAAGAATGTCACAATTTGTTTGAACAGCTTGGGGTACTTCTAACTGATGTTGTCAACTTTTAACATCAATGATTAACCAAACAGTGGGTGTTCCTCAACAGTTTTGAAAATCCTGTGCCTGTTTCCAAGACTCATCAAGTTCATAGCTTCAAAAGCATCTGATGGTAAGAGGAAAGCATATCCAGGATAGAATTCTTTTTAACAAGTGTTGACTGCTGTGATGTGCGATATGACGTTTTGAACACCCGAGGCGCCCAAAGCACCCGAGGCAAAGCTGAGGGTGCTATGCGCCCCGAGGATGTTCAAAACGTCATATGCTTAATGCGCAGTGGGTGCAATCTCGTCCCCAGGGTGTCGAGCAAAACGCACCCACTATTGGAAACGAGGTTGGCAATCAAGTAAGCACTGGGGATGTGGTAGCAGTGGGCATGGTTTAAACTGAAGTGACGTCACACTTACAAACCTGATAAACCAGCTATGACCAATCACAGCCATAAATAATGTCCAACATGCTAAGCTGTGTATATGGGTGTATATATTATAACCGACATACAGATCCTTGTCATTTGATTGGTGGAACTCACATCACGTGACATTCGTTATTGCTCCCATTCACGCCGCGGCTCAAAAAGTACTATCCGCCCATGGGGAATGGGAAATAATGTTAACAGTTAGGATCATGACGCAGTATTTGTGTGCAATACATGCTCGTGTGCGCGTTCAGCGTTGCGCGTAGCACATATTGTTCCAAAGAGCCAGCGCTACAGCGTTGGGTTCAAACATTTTCGTGAAGGGGTGGTTTGGAAGAGAGAAATACATATTCTTCCAGTGTTGTATTAAAATAAAAGTTCAAATATATCAAATGACGAGGATTTAAATGTCAGTTATATAAAACAAATATTGAGTGGCTTTAAATTGTGAAATGGGAGGAATATTATCGCTCGGTAAAATCTGGACTTTTCCAGTTCACTCGGCTTCGCCTCGTGAAATGGAAAAGTCCAGATTTTACCGAGCGATAATATTCCTCCCATTCCACGCTGAGCCACTCAATATTTTGTATAATGACACGCGCACGTCTGAAACACACTGTGTGGCATTCAAGAGGTGCACGTGTTGTTGCCCAATGTGCGCAGCGGGCGGGGCCGCCCAATGTGCGCAGTGGGCGGGGCCGAATGCATTCGTCAATTTCCTCCAATGACCGATGTCAAGCAGACCCTTTCAACCCTCTGCAGCGATCGACAAGGCCCTGGAAAAAGTGAAAGAACAGTTCTACGTGGATTTTGAGTTCACCCACGAGATGAGAGTAGACTACAACTTCTCCCAGTCGGCCCGACAAATCAGGGAAAACATCCTTGGAGAGATGGAGGAACGGACCGATACGTTTGTCACGGTGGTCACCTGGCTCAACCGTCTCGTGTCCTTCGCTTTCATCTTGCTCCTCCTCAAGTTAGTCCTAAAGCAGTATTGATAATTTGATTTATTTTATTTCTTTCTGGAAATCCTGACTTTGGGGTGTCGGATTGATGCAGTGGTGTGTTCATCATCTTGTTTTTGAGTTTAAGATCGTACCCCAGCCAGGTTTAACATGTTGATTGGATCTTCAGACCCTGCTTTATTTTTTTATGTTTTTGGTATGGATTTTTCAAAACCGCAGAGCTTGCAAGTATTACCATAACTATCGAGTGAAGGACAAACATGACAACTGGTACGTCACTGACTACATGCAGATGATTGACGAGAAACAGGAGGCCTTGGGCAGAGAGACACTCCTACCTCTCAAGAGGAAAGAGCGCAGGAAATACATCACCACAAGTAACAAAGCTCCGACTTGTGCTATTTATCACAGGATTTTGTACCACTTTGTGGTCCCCCAAAAAGTTGACACTTTTTGAGAGGAATGTACGCATGCAAGCTATGCCCGAATCTGCGTTTAGTTAAAGGGAATGTACATCATTGGCTTTTGCTGTAATTTTCAGAAATGAACTATTTGAGCGGTTCAATAATACATGTAGATCAAATGTTGTTACACTGACATGTGTGAAGTTTTGTGTTAAAAAATGCTGGAAAAACCAAGAAAAACACAAATGTTCAAGTAGTCTGGTTCCCTGACTCCACTAAAGATGAAATGGATCAATTTATAGATGCCGGAAAATTGTAAGGTAAGGGAACCAGTCTAGCTGGCCTGCACCCGTTCATGAACATGAAACCAATAGCAAACAAAATTTGGACTGAAAAATGGTAAATTTGGAACAGTAGTTGAAAAAGAGTTAGGTTTTTTCCAACGGTGGTCGGCCGACCACCGTTGGAAATTTATACAAAATACCACTTTTCTTGAAAATGACTTCACACCAGGTGCCATAATTTTACAGGATGCTTTAGACTGTCATTTAACAACATCCTAGTAAGGTATTTTGTAAAAATTTGTTAGTTTTGTTTTTCAATGTTCGCAAATGTTGTATATTCCCTTTAACCCATTAGACACTGAACTGCCCAAAACCGTCGTGCCTATTACTCCCTGTTGTGCCTGAAACTGCCGGAGCACTTGATGTTTTACTGGATTTTTTTTTCCAGTGAATAAACACGTGAACAAGCATTACATCCACTGTGTGAACAAAAGATGTCCACATAACCCAGGTAGCATCGACGTTGTGTGGACTTGCCCACGTCCACACAATGTCTCCCCCCCCCCCCTCCGGAAAACAGGTTTAGAGGCATTTTGGGGTTAGCTTTATCGGTGGCAAAATGAAGAGAAACACTGACTTCACTCCAAGTGCCATAATTTTACAGGATGCTTTAGACTGTCATTTACCAACATCCTAGTAAGGTAATGAATAATGAAAGGTTCGCGGAAACACCATGTGCGAATAATTTCTCAACTAAGAGAATGGTTCTGAAAAGAACCAGAGGTATAAACTTGACGTTCCGGTCAGTATGCTCTGACCGTCTTCGTAAAAAATTGGTAGTTTTGTTTTTCGATGTTTGCAAATGTTGTATATTCCCTTTAAGAAAAACCCGTGAAAAAAACTCATTTTACTCACACTGTGAAAACTCTTTCAACCCAATTTTTTTCTAGATTATCCAGAAAAAATTTGGGTTGAAAGAGTAATCACAGTGTGCGTAAAATGAGGTTTTTTTCAAGGGTTTTTCTTAAAGGGAATATACAACATTTGCAAACATTGAAAAACAAAACTTTCAATTGTTTTACAAAGAACCTTACTAGGATGTTGGTAAATGACAGTCAAAAGCATCCTATAAAATTATGGCACCTGGTGTGGTCATTTTCAAGAAAAGTGGTAGTTTTGTATAAATTTCGAACGGTGGTCAGCCGACCACCGTTGGAAAAACCTAACTATTTTTCAACTACTGCTCAACATCTACCATTTTTTTCCTGTCCAAATTTGGTTTGCTATTGGTTACACGTTCATGAACAGGTGCAGGCCTGCTAGACTGGTTCCCTTACCTTACAACTTTCCGGCATCTATAAATTGATCCATTTCATCTTAAGTGGAGTCGGGGAACCAGACTACTTGAACATTTCTGTTTTCTTGGTTTTTCCAGCATTTTCGAACACAAAACTTCAAACATGTCAGTGTAACGATATTTGATCTATTATAACCCCTCAAATAGTTTAATTCTGAAAATTACAGCAAAAACCAATGATGTACATTCCCTTTAAAGATATAGTCCATCATTTGTAATTTGTACATTTTGTTCGTTTGAAGCAACAAAAGTGTTCAAAATCTAATGAAAGATACTGAACAACTAACCTGATGAAGTTTCAGCTAAGCTTCAGCTGTATATTCCGAGAAAAACAGCATTCTAGGATCTCAATTTCAAATCAAAAGTTACTGAATCATGTTTTGAATTGTTTTGAATTGCAGCTATACGCGACATCGCGCACTGATCTGACAAATTATAGCAACCGCGCGCCTGTGTGCGTCGTGCCAATGCTTGCGCGCGCTTCGCCAAATAACAAAACGAACTACTAATTTAAATTTTCCTACGGTACGTCTTAAGACGCACCGTTGGAAAGGCCTTCTTTCGTTGATTACTTCAAAGTGACAGCTTCCCAGAAAGAATAATTTCACAGGGAGTTTAGTTCCATTACTATCTTTCAACCAAGTTTGTTTTTCAACAATAATTACGCCAGTTACTTTTGGGATGGCTGCAAATGATGGACTATAGCTTTAACTACACGAAAAGAAAAAAAATGTCCACACTAGGTATGTAACGTAAACAGTTCAGTTGCTAAAAGGTTAAGTTAAAAACCTACTTGTTTTTTTTTTTCCAAACAGCTTCTGTATACCTAGCCAGACCGGAGAAGCGGCGGATTGTCCTGGGTTTTGTGATGTGGAGCACCCAAGTTTGTTATGCAGTGGTGCTTATGGTAGCTGACTGCATGGCCTACTGGTTTCTGGACTTGGTGCGAATGCACAGCGAACTCAACGTACATATCAATTGTGAGTTAGGCAGAATGAATAAACGCAATTCCTGATGTAAGAAACGAATACCATACAGAAAAGTTAAAGGTAGCGTCCATCATTTGTAATTTGTGCACTATATATGTTCGTTTGAAGCAACAAAAGTGCTCAGAATCTAAAGAAGGGTACTGATCAACTCAACCTGATGAAGCTTCAGCTCAGTGAATGCTGTGTATTCTGAGAAAACAATATTCTAGGATCTCGATTTCAAAAGTTGCAGAGTCATGTTTTAAATTGGGCCTGATTTCAGCGTCCGAGACACGTTCTCACTGAGCCGAATGCAGCTACGCGATGTCGTGCACTGAACCGACGAATTATAGCAACCGCGCTGTCGTGTCAACGCATATAATAACGAACTACTAGTGGACATTTCCAACGATGTGTTCTTAGACACATCGTTGGAAAGGCCACCTTTCATTGATTTCTTCAAAATGACAGCTTGCCAGTCAGAATCATTTCACAGGGAGTTTAGTCCCCTTACTACCTGTAAACCAAGTAAGGTTTTCAACAATAATTACGTCAGTTACTTTGTGGATAGTTGCGAATGATCGTCTGGCGCCGCCACCGCTAGTGAGTAGTGGCCATGTTTGCATCAATGTGATCCCGTTGCTGAACCAACGACTGGTCTTCGGCAATGTTGAGTAATCACTTCGACAGTGAAAAGTGAAAGTACAGGAAATAGTCATTCAAGAGGAGACTATTTCAGACCAAGGCAGGTGGGCACTGACGTTAATTTCATGGCTTCCCCTGGCATTACCTCTCAACAGCTCCAGGTTCCGTGACGTTGGACGTGCAGGGAGAAGGAATTCTGGCCGAAATCTACCGCTCTCTAGTCCAGTCATTTGATCCACGCCACATCAGTAACTTTGAGGTAGACACAAGCAAGTGCCTGCCCCGTCCGTCCCTGCCCGACACTGCAACCTACAGAGTAATAGGTAATGTTCAGTGGAATTTTGCACAACTGAGGCAAGTTAGACAAGACTCTGCCAAGTTTAGGCCAGTTTTATGTGTCACACAAGTGAACGTCACAAAATAATTGCAGTGAACTTCCCTGGATTACATCAGTTCAGTATTCCAACTGGGCATGCCCACATCAAGATTTGAATGATTTTTCTTTTGCGATAAACAGGTATGCGTGGAAAATCAGGTACCACCAACATTTAATTGTGTTGTTTTGAGGTAAGCACAAAATTGTTATAAAAAGTTGGATGGCAAAGTGTGGGTAGGTGTTTGTGAGCCCCAACTTTTATGGGAACGAAAGTTTCCATCATGTTTCCAATTGCATGCAAATTGAGGAATGCAGATTCCATTACCCAACCCCCATAAACTTGTGTGCATTTGCCTGCCGTATTTATACTTTTGTATGGGCAAAAAATAATTGAATCTTGTTGCGCCCACGCGTAGTTGGAATTCAGATTTGGCTTATTCTGCAACTTTTTGAGATCTTGTGATGCAAAATCCATATCTCTGAAGACATAAATTTCAGAGTTCAGTTGTAATGACTTGAGTCAATGACTTGACTCGAGTCCGACTCAAGTCACAGTTTTTGGGGACACGACTCAACTTGAGTACCAACAGGTAACTGACTCAACGAGTCTCATGAGTCACTGCGAGTAAATGACTCGACTTGACTAAAGTCCCTCATCAGATGACTTGACTCAAGTCGATAGCTTATAAAACAAAGGTACAAAGTTATTTATGTTCGTGTTCTTCACATAACCATCAAGTTGTGACCGCTTATTTCGTACAAATTACGCCCTACCACAGACTCTCACCTCATGGTTTTTAAAATGTAGCGCACAAAACACTATCCCGGAATCAGACTTTAAAGGCATTTCCCAAATCTTGGTTTCAGCATCAGCTCGGGCAACTTCTCAAGCCCTTGATGGAACTCTGGCTAAATTTTATGTCCCACTTTACACAAATTATTGGATTTCTTTCTCTATAATCAGACACAGTTTCATATGTCGCAATTTGGTTTTGACATGGTCAGCGTAAAACATTATTGAAGACCTGAAGCCAAACCAGAGATAAAACCAAACTTTCACTTCTTCTTAACTGTTAACTGTAAATCTTCGGTAGAAACGCCAGCAGAAGCTGGACATTGTTTGGGGGTGTCAGAGTAGGGTCTTTTTTCCACATTATTTTCAATATATTTCTATGATGATGTTTTTTTAGTCATAGCCGTTTTTTTTTTCCCCGACCCCCAAATGCCCCCTCTGGATCCGCGCCTGGGGTAGCTGGCGCCTGCCAGAGCTGGGGACTGCAAGCGAGGTAGTTGAGTAGGTTGGATTAAAGGGAGAGTAGACCATTTTGTCATTGGTGCATTTTTTTCATTTGAAGCAACCGACAAAAAAAACTTTACTCTCTGTATTTTGAATCTCTAAAGACCAAATAGCCCATACGGTGTACCAGGACTCAAGAAGATAATTTTATGATCCTCCCAAAATTTTGTATCCTCCCCAAATTTCTCGTGGCCCTCAGGTATTATCTTTGGCATCGCTTTTCTCCTCATAATATTTGAGGCCTACGGTCTTCGTCTGCGTCGCCTGATCATGAGTAAGCACTACCCAGAGAGGGAGCGGGTGCGCACCGTCTGGCTCTACAATCAGATCCTGCGACGGCGCGGCGGCTTCAGGAAATTCCTTAAGAGGAACAAGAAAACGGAGGACGCGGCCGAGGGCACAAAGGGTGACGGTCTTATCAGCCACCTTGCGTCAAGGTATGGTATCTGTATCTGTGTCACACCAACTTACGAGAGAAGACAACGAGAAGAAATTACAGTTTTAGAGGTGGGAGGAAACCCCAGACGAACATTCTGGGGAAAACCCACGGAATCAGGCAGGGACTGAAAACCCAATCCACATGTGGACCAGGGCAGGAATCGAACCCAGACCATAGAGGTGGAAGGCGAAGAAAGTAACCACTGCGCCAACCTGACTCCCCTGGTGACTGGACTGGAGACCTTATCTCACACAGGCAGTGCCCTCAAAGTTTCTGACATTGTATTGATTTGACTTGTACCTGTACTGTTGAGTGAAGCTCTCAAAACACCACACATGGAACGCACGTGAAAGTACTGAAATTTAGGTGACCCTGCAACTTTACAGAGGTCATGAGGACAACATGCAGACTCTCTATCAGGGTGAGATATTGAGCCAGTGGATCACACTGGTGGCCACTTGAAAAAGTTAGCTTTAATTCATTTGAAGTTATTCTTAATGCCAACTATGCTCCGTACCAAGGGGACTATTGGTCCATTGAGAGCACAAGTCTGACCTACACACGAAGGTAGTAGCAACTGACCACCTCAGTACTTTTTCCCACGGTGGGTGTGAAACATGCCGTGGGCTTGAGCTGCTCAAGTTAGTTGGTTGGTTGGTGGACACTTTACTCAGCCATATATTGTATTCATGCAACTGGAGTATTACAGCTTTGCATTCAAAGACCCGTTTTGCAAACACTGATGCCATGTGTCTAATTTGCATAGATCACGCCCCATTCGTTTTCTGTACCGGTACTCTTTAGGCATCGGTACAGCCCGGGTGACGGACGGTGCCATCTTCACACGTTACCCATCCGCCATGGGTTGTACCACTTGGTACTTGTTCCTTACCGGCTTAGTCCCATAGAGCTATATTAAATTACTAGAGCGCTAACTCGTCATTCTGCGCACAGAGACGCTTTGAAGCCTTCCTGGGCGCAGACATTTTGAATTCATGTGTGTGTTTGTAGAACATAAAGAAATTAGATAGATTGAATTTTGAAAGTGTACTCTACATGCAACGTGCAAGTAGAACATACGCAAACAACTTAAGCGCGTCATTGACGGTTCAAAATATGTGACGGCAAGAAGCATCTGCAGCGAATGCGCGCACGTGTTGCGCTGTTTGTGTAGGGCAAAATGAAACGCTCATTTGCTGATCGTGCGTTTCGGTTTTGGGCTTATTGGCTTCGATAACGCACCAGTATGGAATACAAACGCAGATATGCAAAAAGCCGTACAAAAGCCGTACAAAATTTCTTGGTCTCCATAGGTTTGTGCACAAATATGGATGCGCCCAGCAGGCATCTCTTTGTACAGGGAGTTAGCGCTCTAGTAATTTAATATAGCTCTATGCTTAGTCCATACTCTGAGTAAACATGGGTTTTAAACTTGATTTTTACATATTTCATGCTTTTACTATATCCCTTTTTTTTGTACAGGTCAAAGATCATGGCCAGAATTCTAAAAATATGTGGATTTAAATGGAAGTTCTGCGTAAACTGCGGTATACCAGGAAAAGCTAAGGACACAGAGGGATTCATGGATTGTGCCAATGCAGGGTGCCGAGGTTAGACTTGTCATATGACTTAGAAAGGAAGACCATTACACTACTGAAGTGCTTGTAAACAAGTAATGACCAGGTTGACAGATTTTTATTGAGAATATCATTAAGGCCAAAAAAAATCTCCGGTCTCTGGTATACAGCTTGCCCCGAAAGTGGTGCGGCGACGCAGGTTTTTTTTTTCCAACTCTTTTTCTTCTTCAAATGTTGGCTGATGTTGCAGATGCTTCAGTGGAGCTTGAGATGACTTCAGTAAGGCCATAGGGCTTGATAATTCTGCACCCACTCAAGATCTCGACCGACACGCACATTCTTTGGGAAAATTTGATAGTCAAGACAAAAATCAGAGAAAACGGTAACGTCAGATGACCATACATCAACATCGTGCATGAGCTGCCAGGCTGTCATTAGTCTGCTCCCTTACATATTGCGACAATTAAAAAAGCATTTACAGGTTCCAGATACACGGCCATCGCTCCCTCAGTCTGGATTCCAGACGCACAATTACAAATTTACAACATCGTCTGCAAATGGTGCCCAACTAAATTTAGAGCAAAGTATATGGGAGCCCAGAGAGGCCACATCAAGCTTAAAGCTATAGTCCATCATTTGCAGCCATCCGAAAAGTAACTGGCGTAATTATTGTTGTAAAACATACTTGGTTGAAAGATAGTAAGGGGGACTAAACTCCCTGTGAAATTATTCTTTCTGGGAAGCTGTCATTTTGAAGTAATCAACGAAAAAAGGCTTAAGACGCACCGTAGAAAAGTTTAAATTAGTAGTTCGTTTTGTTATTCGGCGAAGCGCGCGCAAGCATTGGCACGATGCACACGCGCGCGCGGTTGCTATGATTCGTCGGATCAGTGCGCGACATCGCGTATAGCTGCAATCGGCTCAGTGAGAACGCGTCTCGGACGCTGAATTCAGGCCCAATTCAGAACATGATTCAGCGACTTTTGATTTGAAATTGAGATCCTAGAATGCTGTTTTTCTCGGAATATACAGCTGAAGCTGAGCTGAAACTTCATCAGGTTAGTTGTTCAGTATCCTTCATTAGATGTTGAACACTTTTGTTGCTTCAAACGAACAAAATGCACAAATTACAAATGATGGACTATATCTTTAATCTCGATCGTATCCCTATCTAAAAACACGTTAAAATTGTGTAGCAGCAGGATTCCAATCAAACCAGTTAGTTTGGCAGTTTTGAGACATCCTCTTACATTGAAAACAAAACTTTGGCGACGCGCATGGCTACGGCAACGCGCGCAGACCAGAAAACGGAGAAGCTCCTGGACCCTAAAATAATCCACCTTGGGGCACATTCTTTGTCTGGTGCACTTTGATGCATTTAGCTATCAACACCAGTGCATAAACGGCCAGTTCTGAAACAATGAGAGCCAATTCCATTAAAGCTATAGTCCATCATTTGCAGCCATCCGAAAAGTAACTGGCGTAATTACTGTTGAAAAACAAACTTGTTTGAAAGATAGTAAGGGAACTAAACTCCCTGTGAAATTATTCTTTCTGGGAAGCTGTCATTTTGAAGTAATCAACGAAAGAAGGCATTTCCAACGGTGATTCTTAAGAAGCACCGTAGGAAAATTTAAATTAGTAGTTCGTTTTGTTATTCAGCGCAGCGCGCACAAGTATTGGAACGACGCACACGCGCGCGCGGTTGTTATAATTCGTCGGATCAGTGCGCGACGCCGCGTATAGCTGCAATTCAAAACAATTCAAAACATGATTCAGTAACTTTTGATTTGAAATTGAGATCCTAGAATGCTGCTTTTCTCGGAATGTACAGCTGAAGCTTAGCTGAAACTTCATCAGGTTAGTTGCTCAGTATCCTTCATTAGATTTTGAACACTTTTGTTGCTTCAAACGAACAAAATGCACTAATTACAAATGATGGACTATAGCTTTAAGCAATGCCACAGTTGTCTCCTGCTGCATTCGAGGCAGTTTGGCCTAGAGACGTTTGACCCGATGGATCTGGCTACACTGGGGAGGCTTGTCATCTAGACAAGTGTTGCATGTTGCTGTGTTTGGCAGGGTTTCTAGCCAACATACCCTGGAGGGTTAGGGTTAATTAAGGGGCATTAAGTTCCGTCTGAAGAAACATTGACGGGGTTTTTCCTCCCGCGATCCTGGGTCTTTACCAATTTTTTTTTTGGGGGGGGAGGGGGAAAATAAATATCCCCCTATGCCTCTGAGTGGTGTTGTCATGTATTGCCCCCTGTGAAGACAATTCAATGAACAGTCTCTTGAGGAGCAGTCTCTTGATCTGTGAGGTGACAGATGAATTTGACGTAACAATTTGTGTGTGTGTGTGGACATTTTGTAGCCATTTACTGCCTGGAATGCGTCCACGACGTCCACAACATGTGTCAAATTTGCAGCCGACCCGTGGACTATGACATGGACTTCACCGTGGTTGATTTTGAAAGGTAAGCTACACGTGTATTAGACTAAAGAAATTACACTGGGCGTATCACATCTGCAGGGTCTGAAAGACGTCATTCTTTCTTTACTGAAAATGTCTTTCTCTCAGATTTTCAAAAAGTCTGATTTCAGCCATAAGTCTGAAAAATCTCAATCCTGTGTGCCTCTGAACTTGTTTCAAAATACCCCATTTGCGTTGCTGCAGAGGGTCAAGTGATGAAGAAACGAAGGACCAACGGAGGAGCAAGGATGTTGAGGACGGAACTCTTGATGAGGAGACAGATGAGGACAAGGATTTGGACTACAGCTACCAGTTCAGACTCCCGGGCCTTCGTAAGGAAAGTGACCATGACGATGAGGATGATACCACTGCAGAAGATGATTATGACGATGACGATGACAATGACGAAGAAGGTTCTGAAGACGAAGACGATTCTGACGAGGATTACAAGAAAGATGGAGCACCACACGTGAACATCCCTTCGACTTTACCTCCCTACCGATTACCAATGCCGTTGAAACCCACTGGTGCTCGTAGATTTTGATGGACTCGGTACACATGGCTCATCGGCCAAAACCCCAAAAATTTAAAGGGGTCTGGATGTTGATGGAGTCCGGTAAGGCTGGGACTGTTTAAGTAACTTGATGCAGCTATGCTTTGACTCCGGGTGCGTGATAAAGCAGCTCTGTGACCACAACTTGCCTGCTTTGTCTGTTGACCCAGTTTGAATAGTCCCAGTGCTCGCTTGACATGTGATCTGACTGCTGGATACTAGCGTTTGTTAAGGTATAGCAGGGGAAGGGGACTGTCTGTGACTGTTTAAATAGCAGAAGGATTAATGGATAAGTCAATTGGTCTTGGCTGCCCTTCAGTGGCACACCCAGGATTTGGCTGGGGGAGGGGCCCCCACAATTATTTTCCTTCATATTTTAAAGAAGTTTAAATTAAAAAAAAAAATTTGCCCACAATTGGGGGGGGGGGGGGGGGGGGAGGGGAACTATTTTGACTTTGGTGGCGCCACTTACACCCCTATTATACTACTCGAAAATAGGCCACATACATATCACCAAGGTCAATTCGTGGGACTAAAAAAAACAAATTAAAAAATTGACATCCTCTTGGGGGGTGGGCTCTAACCCCCCCCTCCCCCTTGGCCACCCCCCCCCTTGGGTGTGCCACTGCTGCCCTTGTTTATTTATACATAGGTGAAAGGTACTTCAATTTTTTAAAACTTTATTCCGGCAGGCTTCTGGGCATTCTCAGACCTGCGTGACGAACTTACCTCCAAGATTTATTTCATCAATTTGGGCACTTGTGGCTCTGAGGGGAGGAAGAGGGCTCGGGTCATAACATCTTGGACAAAATGTGCTCCACGGCCTCTGGGAAATCTCGGCAGACAGCGGTCGCTCCTGGCTGGATGCGATCCTCGTCACCATGGCGATATTTGCCTGTGTGTAGACAAAACAAACGGCACGTTGAAATAAATCTTTTAAAACTTGAAACCAATGTGACTCAGCTCAAAGACATCTTATTGTTATTGATTAGGATGTGATGTGGGATGTGTTTTTTGCAAGGAGTACATGTATAATTTATTAAATTTATTAAACTTTTGAAAGATTTTTTAAGGTACAGTTCATTTGCAGCTATCCAAAAAGTAACTGACGTAATTATTGTTGAAAAGCATACTTGGTTTAAAGATAGTAAGGGGACTAAACTCCCTGTGACATTATTCTTTCTGGGAAGCTGTCATTTTGAAGAAATCAACGACAGAAGGCCTTTCAAACGATGCCTCTAAAGACGCATCGTTGGAAATTTCTGTTAGAATTTTTTTTTTTATTCGGTGAAGCACGCGCAAGTGTTACACGACGCCATGCACGCGCGCGGTTGCTATAATTCGTCGGTTCAGTGCGCGACAAAATTGCGTAGCTGCAAATAGCTCAGTGAGAACATGCTTCGGACGCTGAATTCATGCCCAATTCAACTTTTGATTTGAAATCAAGATCCCAGAGTTATTGTTTTCTCGGAATATACAGCTGAAGCTGAGCTGAAACTTCATCAGGTTAGTTGCTCAGCACCCTTCTTTAGATATCAAGCACTTTTGTTGCTTCAAACGAACATAATGCAAAATTACAAATGATGGACGCTACCTTTAAATCCTGAAACAAATGTGACACAGCCTAAAGAAATCTTCATTGTTTGAATAAGTAATGTGTGCAATTATTTTCTTTTAGGGTTTTGAATGTGTTTTACTGTATAAGTAATCTCATAAGAAGTTTAGAGATGTTGTGCTCTTTTGTAAGCCATTTAGAAAAGGTTCATTCTGTATTATCAATTTGCGGTTTTTGGTTTTGAGTTTGAAACAACCCTTACTCAAGAGCCTGCTCTTTTGCATTGCTGGATACTCTAAGAATTCTGCTCATCCTTTGCCATCCACCATCGAAAGAAAAACCTCAGCTGGCTAATTGAAGGTAGTCATAACACGATGAACTCAGTCAAGGTCTTAGGCTGGACCTTGTGTTGTGTATGCTCAGCCGTGCATACATTCAGGCCTATATTATACTGAAATCCTCTGCACTGCTCTAGGATGTCACTGGCTCTGCCTCAACATATTGACAGTAATTTACAGAGGATTTTGCAGGATTGAGGCAGTGGTCACCCCTCTAAGGACCACATTCAAGGAACAATGGAGGATTTTTCAGGATTGAGGCTGTATGCTAGTTTTACATGGAGGCAGTTGGAGGATTTTGCAGGATTGAGGTTGCATCCTAGCAAAATGCCTCTAAAGAGAGCTATAGGGTTAAGAAGTGTTTTTTCAATGGACTTTTATTTTCTGTGTTTAACACAATTCAATATTTATTTATAAATATTTATCAACAATTTAATATGTTTTCATTTGTAAATTGTTTCATTGTCAAATTAAAATTAATATCTGTTGTGTTTTTAAAGCGAAAAAGATAACAAAGTCTGACCTGTTTTAACTAATATCCCCTGCAGTCCAGCTGCCATGGCACCATGTACGTCGTCTCTAGCATCCTGGCAATTAATATTGGTGACAAAACAGAGGGAAGGATAGAAATTATTATTGACAGCTATTAACCCTAACCGCCCTGAATCCTTCAAAATCCTCTTTGCCAAAGTGGAGGAATGTGGAGGATTGAGGTAACTTACATGGCAAAATGTGTTACTGATTTCGTAGGACGCACTTTGTCTAGGTCTTGGGCCGGACTTTGTGTTGTTTTTGCTCAGCCATGCATAAATATAAGGCTGGATTATGCTTAATCCTCCGTATTGCTCCTGGATGTCACTGGCCAAGCCTCAACATACTGACAGTCACTGCCACAGGATTTTGCAGGATTCAGGCAGTGGTCACCCCTCCACTGACCATACTCAAGAAATAATGGAGGAATTTGCAGGATTGAGGCTTGAGGCTATATGCTATTTTTCCATGAGGCCAATTCGGGCAATTCACAATGCAGAGCGCCACCAATAGTTTGCCACGGAGAGTTCATTTTTCCCAGTGCATTGTGGGAGATGGTCGACAAATTCGCAGCGCAGGACATTTGAAATTGTTCGTTTTTTCCGGTCTGTAGTTTCGTAAGTGTATGATTCGAGTATATATATGTTGCCATTTTCTTTTCTTTGTATCACTATGGTGATTTTGGTAAGGCGGCAGAACGCTACAAACAAATTACTGACACTCATTCAAATGGGCCATATTTTGTCGACCGTAAACTTGAAAAGTTGACTCTCCATGGCCAACTCTTGGTGGCGCACTGCATTGTGAATCGCCCGAATTGGAGGATTTTGCAGGATTGAGGCAACATCCTAGCAAAAAGGCCTAGGGAGTTAGGGTTAAGGGAATAAATGTGTGCTTGGCCAGTTTTAAACAGTATGTTTAAGACCGCCGGGTTGGAGTCTGGATGCTGATAATGAGACTGTTTGGAGTCGGGATGTTGATAATGAGACTGTTTGGAGTCAGGATGCTGATAGCATGGAGGTTTCCTACCTCCATGCTGATAATTACCCGAGCCAAAGGCGAGGGTAAATTATCAGCATCCAGACTCCAACCAGTCTTCAACATATTGTTTAATACCGGCCAAGCCCATATTTATTGCCATTCATAAACACCTTTTATGGTAAAAAAAAAACATCAAAACTTTTTTGTCCAAAAGACAAATTGGGACACTTTTTTTTTATATCCTATCCATTCACAATGATATTCATGTTGAACCATAACTGTCCGATGTGCATATCATATCTTAGAACACACGCACCATGTTTTTCCTTGTTTAGTTTCTTTACATTCAGATTGGAGTGGGGAAATCTGAAACATTTTCAAAGTTTGCTTTTGGTTTCAGAAATGTAAAACAAAACTTCATTCAGTGGATCCAGATTAGACCTACATGTACCTGATGCCTGACGCACAATCCATATCAGCATACTTTGACCATTTCTTAAAGCTACAGTCCATCATTTGCAGCTATCCAAAAAGTAACTGGCGAAAATAGTGGTGAAAACCATACTTGATTGAACGATAGTAAGGGGACTAAACTCCCTGTGAAATTATTCTTTCTGGCAAGCTGTCATTTTGAAGAAATCAACGAAAGAAGGCCTTCCCAATGGTGGGTCTTAAGACAGTGTATGCTCCCCGTGTATGCTCCCAACCTGACGCGTGTAGACCAATGTATGATTCCCCCGACTCTGCTCACGAGGTGACTTTTGGTCACTCCGCGAGAACATTTTACATTTGTGAAAAACACGGATTTCAGGCTTTTTGTCAAATGTTTATAATTTACGATAATTTAGAAAGTAAACAAACTTGGTCAAATTGCTCCTTGAGACAAATATGATAAAACGGCTAGTAAAACTAAAAATGGAACAATTAACGAATTTCGAGTATTTTGTCACTTCGTTAACAAAGCGCGAGTCTGGAACATGCAGTGGCACTGGAAAAGCATGCGTGTCACTGCCGACATGCGCAGTGGGCGGAGCTAAATGTATCAGTATATTTGGTCCCTGCACATTCATTCATCTTCCATCACATTCTTACATCTCCTATCATCACAGCGTCTTGGGGACTGCATCCCAAGCTCCTCAGGGCTTCTAAGAAGAACGTCTTCTCTGGCTTGCCGACGACGGAGGCCTTGGTCCCGCTGGCGTACTCCAGGGCTTCCACGAAGGGTCCCGGACCCAGGGCCAGGCCGTCCAGCCTCTTGAAGTACCTGGCTTTGTGGATGGCTATCAACTTAGCACCATCCAGGACTAGTCTGGAAGAACAGAAACAGGCTCGTTGTAGACTTATGACAAGCATAATTAGAAGTGATTACTGGGGCAGCCCCACCCCCGTGCACAGGTGGTAAGCGTGTACTCAAAGAAAGAACGGGTGCAAAATGATCTGGTACACGGTGCCCTGTGGCGACGTGCATACATGTAATAGGGAACAAAATATTGTATACGTCTCCACAGGGCAATTTCTATCGATGAATACGTCTCCACAAGGTTATCACGAAATAGATATACGGATTTTACTCAAAAATAGGAATTTCCAAGGTGGGTTGAAATGTCGCAAAGTGAAGTATTTTATGTGAAGGGTATTAAGTCCGAATTTCAGCCCAGGAAATTAACTCTGGTTAAAAAAGGAGTATTTTGAAACTACACTTTCAAACTCGAAAACTTTAGTACACGAGAACAAAGAAATGACTCCACAAGGATACAAATTCCAGTATGTGTGTGTGCACACAAGTGTGGCATCATGTGAAAATGGAGGAAATTGCGGAAAATGAAAAGAGGGAAAATCGGAAATCCTATTAAAATAGGAAAACTATCATGCCCGGAAAAACATATTTTGTAGGTCTTTTGTCGGATATGCAGAGATACACCGTAGTAATTAAAATTTAAAAACAGGCGTCTTTACCTGAATGCTGAGTTAAGAGTTGCATAATTGAAGTTGTCCGGGGAAAGTCCAACCACCACAGAGTTAGGAGAATCTATAGAGATGCCTGTAAACACATGAGAGGGAAGTCTAGTGATTTCAAAATGAGGCTTAAGACTAGACTGGTACATGTCCAACCATGGCCCAACTATTTGAAAAGACTGACCTCTTCATTCAGTGTCATTAGTCTGGTGACTATGGAGAATGTGTGGTAAATAGAGACTAGTTCCCAATTCATGCCACATAATTCTTTTGGCATGGTTGATTGATACAGTACTGAAGCGGTGTTGGACTGGTTGTTTTAGGTGCCAGTCTATTTTATTGTATTGCGTGTTTTCGATACCTTAAGTTTTGGGACTTTCATACACTGTATTGAGAATTTTCAGACTACTATGTATGTAAGTTTAGAATCTGGTAGAAAGGGTGATGGCTCCTTTTTGGACACAAGCATCAGCAAAAGTGACAAGAAAATAAAAGAATCCATCTCGAAAAATCCGCCATCTTTCTGAAAAAAAGGGGGAGGGGCACCTCCTCCCTTTTTTTGAAAAAACCAGGACGAGAATCATCCTGTGCTTCCAACCTTCAAAATCTCTCATGGCATCCTCTTGCAGGAGCAGCATTGGCCTTAGAGCGCCCTCTATCACCACATTCCGTGCGGCAGTCAGGGACGAGAAGATCTCTCCAACTCCGATGTCAAAGCCCAATTTCTGGAGCCGCTGGTGGAGGGTCGAGACACTCTCTTTGGTCGTGTTGGTCACAAACTTGATTTTGACCGGAGCTGATCTTAACCTGGTCAAACAAATGAAGGCCAACCCCCCAAAAAAGAGATAAATAATATGAGACACAAAAATAGTCTACGGAAAATTACACTCTGTGAAGTTTGTGTTAGCATGGAGGAAGGAAGTATTTAGGCTTTGCATGGTGGAGTATCAGTATCGTTTCGGTTTGCGGTAACACCATGTGGTAATAACTACTGTCGCTCAGCAGATATTTAGTAAGTATGGTTGGGTTTCAGACTTTTCAGAATTGAAGATACTTTAAAACAAACTGTGATTAATTAGTCACAAAAGGTGATTAATTAGTCATCATTTTATTAATTCATGTGAAACGATTCTGGTCACTGACTTGTGAATGATGGACTTAGTTGCATGAGTCAAGCTATTTTAGGGCATGGCAGCGACTAGAGTCAAGTTGTAATGTTGTTGAATATTGTATCCAAGCATGGAGCCCAAGTCTCAAGAAAGATGTGACAGCGTTAGCAAAGGTACAGCGCAAGGGCAACCAAGATCATCCCAAGCTTGAGAAACAAAACTTATACAGAGAGATTATTGGAGTTGGACCTGTACAGTTTGGAAGCAAGAAGACAACGAGGTGACCTGATCGAGGTGTATAAGATCCTAAACGGCTTGGAAGGCATTGAGGAGAGCAAGCTCTTCCAGAGACACGACAAACCATTCCAAGTCAGAGGTCACAACGTAAAGCTCTACAAACCAGGATTAAAGAAAGGCTTGAACTGCAGAAAAAAACTTCTTTTCCATCCGTGTTATTTCCGAATGGAACAACCTCCCATCACATACTTTATGTGGTGAATGCAGCCTCAACAAAGCTGTTTAAGAACCAACTTGATGCCTAGTATTGGAAAGAAATTGGATATGGGGTCACAAAGGCTTAGCCTATTCAATTCCTATCAACCTAAGTAATATAAGTAGGCCCTAAGTACTTCTAGAATTGGAGAGAAGCCTTCTAATTCTAGTAGTAAGTAAAGCAGGGATTTCAGTGGAGTCTAGTCAGTATACAGGGTTCTCCCCAGGATTTTTTCAAACCTGTGGGGGAAGTTTTGTTGTGATTCACCAACCTGCGAAGCCACGGCGTGGGGTTCGGGGCCCGCTTAAGGGCCCCGAAAAATTTTGAACTTTAGAGGCTCTCTGGTGCATTTTAGAGCAAATCTGGGGAGTCTTTAAGGAAGATTTTTCCTTAAAATTTAGAGGAGATCTTGTGATATTTTTTGTAATTAGAGAAAAAAAATATCAACGTTTTTAACTTAAAAAAAAAAATCAACATTTCAAAACCTGTGTTAAACCTTCTTGATCTAGAAAGTATGGATTATATTTACAAGCAAGTTTCAAATTAAGAAATTAAGGTGAAGAAAAAAAATCACTTTTGCTTCCGACTACATGGCTTTCAAAATAGCGTCGGTAGGTCGGAAAAATTATTTCGCCATTTTTTTGGGCTGCTGATTGAATCATGGAGGAATAAAAACACATGATTGAATGGAGCATATTGAACAAGGAATCATGTAGTTTTGTGCCTGGATTATTTTCCTTTGCACCACGAAAATTATCAAGACTGACCATCAGAAGTGATTAAAACTTGCCTCACCTAATTAAAAATATATTTGAGGAGGTTGATTCCACTATGCTTAACGTACATCGATCACGGCCCCTGGCACTGCCAACATTCAGTCTGGCCGGCCGTACATCGCGCAGTATCAGTGTGCATTACTGCACTGTGTACGGCCCTACTGTTTCTAAGAAGCACGCTACGATGTTTCGCCACAAGTTCGAGCTTTGCAATCTCGTCATTTTAATGGAAAATACATACACAGAAAACAAAGATCACGTTCTGTGAATTAATTTGCAGAAATTCTCTTTCTCCATCGATGTTTGTTTGGTGTTTGTACGATCCAACTTCGGTCGACATCATCATCATGTATGCACGCACGAGGCAGTAGTCACTGGTTCCGGTCCTTCATCATAGCATTGATACTGTTGGCACGCGAAGGGAACCAGTGTACCGTGCTGTATGCGCTAATATATAGCTGGCGGTTGACGCGAAAGACCCGTCATCGTGTGCATTTTGATCACGCATGCATCAGAAATGCAGGATTTTTGTCAAGATTTTGCATGTCAAGATGAAATAATGGTGTATGAAACGATTATGTTGTGCATTTTAATGGCTTGTATAATAATTATATTGTGCGTATCGGGGGCTGAAAAATGTGATCGGCATTTTTGTCGGCGTATCGGGCCGCAATTCCAGCGTATCGGGCCGATACGCACGTTTGTACGTGGGGAGAACCCTGGTATATTAGGCCAATGTCAGGTCAAGTGAAGTGCACTCTGAGTCTATTTATGGGGTCACTGAGTCATATTCTTGCTTGAGTCAAGTTCTGTCACCGTATTTTATTCTCGATCTTATCTAGGATTGCAAATTGAAATTGGGTACAATTTCTGCAATTCCTTTATCTTTATGTTAATCTGCCAATCAGCCTAATGTGGCTTTGCAACTTGATGCCGCAATTTCAAGTGTTGATGTAACTCGAGTCGAGAATCTCTAGCTAGCTATGCGAGACTCGACGTCCAAGTCAAATTGAGTCATTTGCTTGCAGTGAATTGAGTCAGTTTGAGTAGTATGCCGCATTGCCAGTGTAAGCTCATGCAGACTCAAGTCAAGTAAAGTCACTGAAAATTGCGACTCGCATTCAAAGTTGGACTCAAGTTGAGTCGTTCACTCATTCAACTTGAGTCATTATAAATTCGTCTTGAGTCATTACAACTTGAAGTTGTAATGACCCAAGTTGAATTTAGTGAATGACTACACTTGAGACGTTGAGTCCAAGTTTGAGTCACAACTTTGGCAGTGACTCGACTTGACTGGACTTGAGTCCAAGTTGCAAAGTACTCAGTTGTAATTAATACAAGGCAGGTTCAACCTTGCTAATGCTGCCACTGCTCCTGGCACAATAGTGTCTTCGATGTGTAATGTACCACTCAGGTCAATCAACACTGCTCTCAAGACAGCTCGCACAGCCATCATTCATTCATTCAAAGAAAAATCCAAAAATATTAAAACTTTCATACTCAACACTTTTCTATCATAGCCCCCTCTATTGACCAAAAATGCGCACAGCCACGTCCACGTGCTTTTGGCGAGTCAAAATCCTAGACGCTCGTATCTTCGGGGCCATGCTGAATATGATTCTTTAGAATGGCACCTGACTGACATGATCGATGAACGTTTCGCAATCAAGTGAAACAACCGAATTAGTTTGCGATATAAAAATTGACATGCAGGTACGTAAATACTTAGTGTTAGTAATGCCAGTTGGAAGATCAGCTAGCTGTGAGGTATGGATGTTTGGGGTATTGCGTAAAACGACATTTAAATCTTGTGTCTAAAGTTTGGTAAACCAGAAAGTGGAATGCCCAATTTTCGGACAAGTGGTGGCGCTACCCAGTCTAACTGTACTGTAGCCCCACTACTGTGGCCGTCGGTATGCTGCGCTGAACTTAGGTTCAGCGCAGCATACCGACGGCCACACTAGTGGGGCTAATTGTACTGTAGTCCGCACGTTATTAACTTGTCATTGTCAATGCCAATATTAAATTATACATGTAATTAACTTTATAAAGTTATTTTTTTGGTGCAAAATTAAGTAATTGTTGGGCATTATCCGCTGCAGGGTTTATAAATCGACACCAGTGAATAATTTATTGAAATTTGAATATTGAAAATATTAAACTAAAACTAAAAGTTTCTGACTTTCTCTCTGTCATTTGTCTCAGTTTTGGCTGAATCAGCAAATGGGCCTCCTTCTAAAGTATGTGACAATTGTCAGGACAAACGCAATCAATGCATTAGATAACAAGAAAATATACAAATGAAGGTTGTTTTCACAAGGTTAGGGTGTCATTAAATTTGGTCATTGTTGGTGCTGTCATTGGTAGGCCTACTGTTATCTGATTTTTCTCTCAATCAATTTAAAATTGTTTCTTTGTTAATCTTCAGAAGCAATCATGCCATCCGCAAAGGCCACGAGACAAGGCAACGAAGCTGGCCCTCAAGGTGCGTCTGGCTCCAGACCAGCTCAACCGGCCGGCCAGTCACTGAAACAGCTCGGGAAGCGGTCCAAGAAGAACAAAGCAAAGAAGGCAGCCAAGAAAAAGAAAAAGATGAGACTGCCAACAAGACTCACAAGGCTGTTGAACTACAAGGCCAAGAGAGTTCACCTGGATGGTCTAAAATCACAGTCTGTGAACCAAAAGCTGTGTGAAGGAAGCACAACACTAATAAGGCATTGCAACAGGACCTTATCATCTACAACATCTGGAGGCGGGGTAAAGGGTTTTTTGGAGGAGGGAAGGGGTAGCTGTTTGTCAGCCTTTCAAAAAGCATCCAACTTTGCTCATAGAGCCTCTGACAGTAGTGGAGATTTAGGTTCAAAAGATGGTGAGGGCAGCGCTGGATGGAGATTGATCCCAAAGGAAAAGCTCATTGCTCTAGATTGCGAAATGGTCGGCGTGGGTCCGCAGGGGAGAACTAGTGCCCTCGGGCGGTGCAGCATCGTCGACTATGACTGTAATGTTCTGTACGATGATTACGTCAAGCCTGAAGTTGAGATCCTTCATTACAGGACTCAGTGGAGCGGCATCCGTAAGCGCCACATGGTGGACGCGATCCCCTTCAGGGAAGCTCAGCAGCAGATCGCAGACATCTTACGGGGGAAGGTCCTGATTGGTCACTCGCTGCGGTCCGACATCCAGGTCCTCCAGCTCGGCCACCCGAGGGAGGACACCCGCGACACCAGCACCTACCGGGGCCTGCGGGAACTAGCCGGGGTGACCGTCGGTCCCGGTCAGCAACTCGGCCTGAAGAAACTGACCAAGCTGCTCTTCGGTCACTCCATTCAGCAGGGCGAGCACTGCTCTGTGGAAGACGCCAGGGCCACGATGAATCTCTATAAGCTGGTGGAGCGGCAGTGGGAGGCGGAGAGAGTTTCCGCTTTCCCTGACCGGGATTTTCGAGTCAGCTTCATGGACGATCACTTTTGGCCCGATGATCTAGACCAGTAAATAAATTCATTGTGTGCCTAGGGCCAAAAAACAAAAATCTTCGGTTTCTGGTATGGAGCTTGCCCCAAAAGTGGTGCGGCGACGCGGCTTTTCTATATATTTTTTTACTTTTTTCTTTTTCAAATGTCGGCTGACTACTACAAATGGTGCCCGACTAAATTTAGTGCAAAATATATGGCAGCCCAGAGAGGCAACATTAAGCTTATACTCGGTCGTAACCTCATCTAAAAACACATTAAAATTGTGCAGCAGCAGGATTCCAGTCAAACCAGTGAGTTTGGCGGTTTTGAGACATAATCTGACATTGAAATTTAAAAAAATAAAATCCCGACGCGCATGGCTACGGCGACACGAGCGCATACCAGAAACCGGAGCCTTTTTTTTTTGGCCTTTTCAAATTACAGGTCAACCCCAAAGATACCCAGCATTTTTGTTGGTATTAAGCTTCCTGGATCCTTAAAAATCCAACATTCGTATTAGTGCCTTTTGTCAGGCCATCGATAAATCAAAATTATGTGAAACAAATTAGGACTTTGGCAAATTCTAATAAGTATAATTTAATAATATGCATGCAACCTAATTTGACTTCTCCCTAACCCTCCAGGGTATTTTGGCTAGAAACCCTGCCAAACACAGCGACATGCAACACTTGCCCAAGAGACAAAGTCTGCCCAGTGCAGCAAGATCAATCAGGTCAAAAGTCTCGAGGCACAACTGCCTCAGAGTCCGTGGTCACCAATGCAGCAGGATACAACTGAGGCATTGTTCTATGGGACTAGCTCTCATTGTCTCAGAAGTGGCTGGTTTATGCACTGGTGTTGGTAGCATTTTCCATCAAAGTGCACCAGACTTTTCCACCTGATGCACTGTGCTGCGTCTGGCAGGGTTAGGGTTAAAAGTAAGTCATAACTTTATTACGGAGTTTAGCATAACTCCACAAACGTTGAAACACGTGTGTGCGCATTTGAATTTAAACATGATGGTATGCATGAAGTTTTCTTTTATAAATTGTGAAATTTTGAAGATGTTATATTTAAGCACAAAATATACTGTTTTTTTTTTAACAAACGTGCTTATATACAGAGAGATGTTTATATGCACTAAATTATTCCCAAATTCTATTGAATTTTTAATAGCGTAACTCTGTTCATCCTTCACTTTGTTTTATGTCACAAGACGTTAGAAAACAGAAAAGTCAAATATTTCATGTGCTTTCCATCCTTTCCCTAAAAAGTGGTTTTATGAAGTATTTCCATGACAGATTAATACTGAACATGAAATAAATTTGAAAATATATGAGAAATTTGATAATTGTGTGAATTCAGATCTTTTTATTTTTCTCGCCAGGACATCTGAATTTAATTGTCTAAATGACTACAATGTTTTTACAATATGTTGGCCACTGTTACCCCCTTCCCATAACCAACTTAACCAAAAGAAAAAGCTGTTGTTTTCACAGGTAGTTATTTAACCCTAACCTCCCTGAATCCTTCAAAATCCTCTTTGCCAAAGTGGAGGAATTTGGAGGATTGAGGTTACATGGCAAAAGTGCGTTACTGATTTCGTAAGATGCACTTTGTCAAGGTCTTGGGCTGGACCTTGTGTTGTTTTGCTCAGGCATGCATAAATATAGGCCTGGATTATGCTTGAAATCCTCCGTACTGCCCAAGCCTCAACATATTGACAGCTGCAGGATTTTGCAGGATTCAGGTAGTGGTTACCCCTCCACAGACCATATTCAAGAAATAAAGGAGCAATTTGCTATTTTTCCATAAGGTTGATTGGAGGGTTTTGCAGGATTGAGGCTACATCCTAGCAAAAAGGCCTAGGGAGTTAGGGTTTATAGAGACGGACCATTTGCACATTTAACAACAAAGATAAATTTCTAATTGATGCCAATGTTGAGGCTCTCGACCATACAATTTACATGCTCAAAAGTGAGTTTCATTCAATGAATCTAGAGTTGACTGTCATTAATACAACACTGCTAATACAAATTTTGGTTACAGCAAACATAAAGCCTGGGTCCTGACTGTGCATTTATGTGCGCAATGAATGGGACCGGCACTCCTCTTAATACAAAATTCTGATATAACATACATTTTTGGCTAGGTCCGGCTGTGTATGCATAGCTTTAGACGTAGCATCTTTCTTCATAAGAAACCCAAGAGAGAAATGAGTCTTTGGTCACAAATGGTCAGTGACAGTGGAAGGTCCACCGAAACGGACTCATAGACTTCCTAGTACTCTATATACATGTACACAAAATTTGCAAATTATTCTCTCTGTTTATCTTGCTTCAAGTGACATGCAAGGAGGACTACAGCATCCCCCCCAAGAGAAATACCCCCCCCCCAAAAAAAAAAATTATTCCTTCAATTCTTTTAGAGACTCCAAACTAACAACTTAAACGAACAGACAGCTTGGTCACATATTGGCGTCGGTAACAGTTGGTGGGTTATTTAGAATTTCACATTAACTCGTCCAACAATACGAAGGGCGGAAGGGCTCTGTCAAGTGAAAAAAAGGCCTTATTTGAGAAAATTGTGGTAACTGGCAGGGGGGAGGGGAAGACCCCCTGCATCCGCCACTGATTGCTACCAATTGTTGTCACTTCAACAACTCTGTCGTAAACATTGTTTTCTCAAAATTTAAAGATATTAATTAAAATCAAATTATCAAGAATGAGCACTGTGTGCCTTACATGTACATGCGTTATCCACCAACTACTTACAAATGTAAAAGTTCCGACAAGATTCAATAATGATTATGTCTAAAGACTTGATGCATTGCTGGTACCTTAGAGGCTGTTCTTTGTTTATTATAATTTAGTAATGATGAATGCGGTACAAAAACCATTCCCTGTCAGTTTCAACGTTTGGAAGCTGACAAACACGCTGCAAGGGTACTTTCAACCTGGCCCCTGGTAGGTCATGGGTCATAGGTACTGCGCAGGATGTCGTCAGTTTGTGAGTTCAATCAGGGATTCCACCAGGTTTCCTTTGTTTTCTCGCAGGCTGCGCTCAGCTTCTGTTCTGCTGATTTCAAGCTCTTGAATCTGCCAAGGTGGGTTATAAAAAGAATGACTAAAAAAATCATTTGTTAAATACATACGGTCATTTAAAGCTTTACTATAAACAGAGATGAAACTTTTCCAATTTTAATTGGAAATCCGACTTTTTCAAATTTTGTTCCCAAAATGTGTTTTTTTCTGACGATCTTTTCCTCGCAAAGTCCGATTTTTTAACTTAAATTTCAATGAATTTGAACGGCACTGTGACACCTGTATTGCGAGCGCAATTTTTATCTGTTCTACCAGTCGCCAGTGCACAGATTGTATGGTAGACACACATACATGTGAGTGAGCCTAGATTGGAGCAGTTTACGCAATACGGCTTGTCTGGAAATAAGTTTTAAAGCTATAGTCCATCATTTGCAGCCATCCGAAAAAGTAACTGGCGTATTATTGTTAAAAAACATACTTGGTTGAAAGACAGTAAGTGGACTAAACTCCCTGTGAAATCAATCTTTCTGGCAAGCTATCATTTTGAAGTAATCAACTAAAGAAGGCCTTTCCAACGGTGCATCTTAAGACGCACCCTAGGAAAATTTAAATTCGTACTTCGTTTTGTTATTTGGCGCAGCGCGCGCAAGCATTGGAACGACGCACAGGCGCGCGCGGTTGCTATAATTCGTCAGATCAGTGCGCGACATCGCGTAAAGCTACAATTCAAAACATGATTCAGCAACTTTTGATTTGAAATTGAGATCCTAGAATACTGTTTTTCTCGGAATATACAGCTGAAGCTGAGCTGAAACTTCATCAGGTTAGTTGTTCAGTATCCTTCATTAGATTTTCAGCACTTTTGTTGCTTCAAACGAACAAAATGCACACATTACAAATGATGGACTATATCTTTAAGCATTAACATATGACATAATTGAAACATGTTGCATGTTTTGAGGTTTCAGATTTAGCTGTACAAAATGTGATACTTTAAAAATCATGATGATGATCTTGAGGATGGCAAAGAGAGCATAAACGATAAATTTCACTGGCTGTTGATGGAAGAAAAAGACGATAATGCCTGATTTTTCCCATGTAGGCTAGTGGAGTTTGGTTGATTGGTCATGAATGATGCCCTTGTCTTTCAGACTATTCCCCCGACTTTCTCAAGTAAGAAGTGAACTTCTTTGCTGACGAGTCCATTACTCTAACTGTAATTCAGGCTTTTTAATTTTATATAAACACTGATAATTTTTCTCATCGTATAATTTCGTTTGGATCTAAAATAAAATAAAAACAGGAGACGGTGTCCGGAAATTGGGCATAAGGTGTATTGCACATATCTACATGTGTAACTCAGATTTCTGACACAGATTATAATTTTGCCAATCTTCCAATTTTTTTTCCCATAGGCATTAGGCAAGTTTCATCTCTGTACTTAATTTGGGGTTCATTGTCAAATTCTCAGCTTCATCTTGGGCTCAATAAAAGTCAATACCCTTTCATTGTATACTGTTTAAACCAGAAGGAAATACTGCAAGACATTGTGTTACACTACACGCTTTGATGTTTATGTGGCATAATGGTGCGAAAAAAAGACACGACAAGCCTAGTAGAGTTGGTCCCAGATTGCAAAAATGGAACAGCCATTCCAAATCAATGGGAGCCTTTTGAGACGTTGGTGGCAGCAAACACACTAGTCCTTTTCAACTGTTTATGTCATGTTTAAGCTAAAAGCATGCATGCTCAATATGACGCAAACAATGGAAAAAGTTTTTTCATGCATGCGGTCTGCACAATGGGTTGGGTTTAACCCAATCATTGGTGTTACAGAGTAATCATAAATGACAACATCGCCTGGATCTCTTCACCAGTCTACAACTAGTCGAGGTCACAAGGGGCAGTCAGTCAGTCAGTCAGTCAGTCAGTCAGTCGTGAGATAGGTACGAAGAGGACACTAGACTGGCCCTCTGGGACCAGCAAAATAGGACACTTACAATCAGGTCTACATCTGCTTTCTTGATGACGACTTTGGCTAATTCTCGCTCTCTGTAAAAACAATCACAGAGTTGGCAATTATTTTTTTCACAAAGAAACATTTCCTTTGAAAAATAATACAAACTGCATTGATAAGGAGGGCAGGAACACTGGTTAACTCTTTTAACAACAGAAAATGTGCCTTATTAGACAGAATTACAGCAAAATGCAATTAAAGGGAATATACAACATTTGCAAACATCGAAAAATAAAACTACCAAGTTTTTACGAAATACCTTACTATGATGTTGGTAAATGACAGTCTCAAGCATCTTGTAAAATAATGGCACCTGGTGTGAAGTCATTTTCAAGAAAATGGTATTTTTGTAAACATTTCCAACGGTGGTCAGCCGACCAGCGTTGGAAAAACCTAACTATTTTTCAACTACTGCTCAAAATTTACCATTGTTTTCAGTCCAAATTTTGTTTGCTATTGGTTACATGTTCATGAACGGGTGCAGGCCAGCTAGACTGGTTCCCTTGCCTTACAATTTTCCATCATCTATAAATTTATCCATTTTATCTTTTGTGGAGTCAGGGAACCAGACTACTTGAACATTTTTGTTTTTCTTGGTTTTTCCAACCTTTTCGAACACCAAACTTCAAAAATGTCAGTGTAACAATATTTGATCTATTATACTAACCTCTCAAATAGTTCATTTCTTAAAATTACAGCAAAAGCCAATGATGTACATTCCCTTTAACTTCACAATACACATGGGGCTGGAAACATAAAGCAAGGTATGCCATGGTCAATCCAACTTTGTGCACTGAAATGACTGAATTATGAGATTTACAGATGACTGACGCAACTTAGGGAACGTCTCAAAAGTCGGAACGTTCCCGTTCCGTATGAAACGCTCCTTTTGCCCAAACCTTCCAAACTCCATCAAAATCCATCCCCCCCATTCTGAGGGGATTTTGATAGGCAAGCTATGAGAACCAAGTCCATCAAAATCCACCTACAATGTATAGCAGCGGTGGATTTTGGTGGATTTGGTCCTGAAGCATTAGGTGAAGCAGAGTCAGTGATGGATTTTGGTGGACTTGGTACTGTTCTGAGTAAAACTCAGTGGGGAGTTAGGGTTAAGAACTCTGTGTGTTTCCATCAGGAACGCGCTGTGTTCCCAGCGTGTTCCCAACTGGAACAGGCCATTCCCAAACCAATGTTCCCCAGTGGAATGTTCCGAGCGTTCCGACTTTCGAGACGTTCCCTAACACTTTCTCTTTGATCTTGTTACCTTTCTATCTTCTCTGATCTTTCCTTTGACATCCTCTGGTCCAGGGCTGCCAATGCCTACCAATGAACAAGGAAAAAATTATCAATTTGAAAATTCGAAAGACGACAATATGTGACCTGCTCCACAAAAAAGGGTATTAAGTCGTGCTGAGCATTATTGTGTAATGGTGAACATTTTGGTGAACATTTTGTCAAAATGTAATGTTAATTTTTTGTCATGAATGACATCTTTAATACCTACAGTTTTAGGTTTCAATCACAGATTTTGATAAACAAATTGAAAAAAAAAAAATTTTGTGTGCATCGTTCTGTTGTTCTAATCGGCAGCCAAATGGCATCAGTGCAAAGCACCAGTATCATGGCCCATGACCTCAAGAAGATTACAGGAATATGGCAATTGGACGCCGTCTGAATTCTGCCCGAAATTACAGGTGCGGAAAGGTACGGAATTCAATGTTTTTTTTTTTTTAAATATAATTTGGGCGATTATCAAGTGGAAAAATAATTCAAATCTTGATTGATTGTCTGCTACCCTAGCAACAGCTCTTTCCACACATTTTTGTATCATGGCCGGCCGTGTACGGCTTACCAAGGGCGCAAGGCCATGGTGCCAGTAGCAAGGCCAATGGACTAAATATATAGGCCTACCCTAGCTGGAGTTACCCAGCCCTAAATTTTATCATTGGGTTGTCATTTAGGGCTTTCACGTAACTCAGCAGCGTAGGCAGGTCCCAAAAAAAATTGCGGAAGCGTAACACCCGATGACTGTTTCATGCACTAATATGAGGTTTATCACTCGCATCACAGCTGCGGTACTGGAACGGCAACCGATAGTACATGAAACAGTCATCAGGTGTTACGCTTCCGCGTGACGTCATGTCCAACAGCCAGCGCGCGCAGCCGGCAAAAACGACTAGTACCAGCGCGCTGTGCATGGTAATCGACCGCCATTCATTGTACACAATTTTTGTGTGTGCACAAACCAATTGCAGTCCTGGCCATGCCTGCAAGGTTGTCAGGTTAGCGGTTATTCCTCCTTTTTTCACTGCAATTGTAGGCTGAATCTTCATCGTTGATCGTTTTTTACTTCGAGGACCAGTGAAATGGTTATTCCAGGCAAGTTTGGGGTGAGTTGCAGTCGCAATTTTTTTTGGGACCTGCCTACGCTGCTGGGTTACATGAAAAGTTATCTACCCACAAGTTACTGAACAGAACAAAGTTGCAAAGCATTAGACAGTAGCATGGGCGTCGCCAGGATTTTTTCTAGAGGGGGGGCAAAAAAAAATTTTGCCAAAAAATGCTTGTATTTCTCAACACATTCTCAATTTATCAGTTTTAGAGGGGGGCAGGGACATTTTGCCCCCCCCCCCAACTCATTAGATTTACACCACTTTGTCTTTGCGCCTCTTTTTTTTTTTTTTTTTTTTTCTTCTTTTTTTTTTTTTTTTTTTTTTTTTTTGCTTTTCCAGGGGGGGGGGGGGCAAGTGCCCCCCCTTGCCCCCCCCCTCGCGACGCCCATAAACAGTAGGCCTATACATAAATAACCAATACAAATTTATTCCCAAAATGAAGTTCAGTCATGTCAGTAAGAACTGCCAATTATGTTGACAAAGGGAATTTAAATATCCAACACACACATTGCTCAGTCGTTGTCCAGTGATCTCTTTTTCTTCAGCATAGTCCGTAACTCTCTCAAGATCTGCCGCTCCACTGTCGTGTTTCTTTGCTTTAGGCACGGTGGAATTCGACTCCACATCCTCAGGGTCGTGGTCAACTTCATTTTGAGACATCTCTCAATGTGGAAATTTTTCTAATAACGGAGAAAATGTGTACTACTTTGATGGAGCTTTGCCGCAGTCTAGTCCCACGTGAAAATGAGATATCCGTGACAGAAGAGGGCGCCCTTTATCAGTTTATTGGGCGCATTTAACGCCGAGTCGAGCACGTTTGGGCGAATTATTTGTTTTGTGTTTCTTTAGCTTTATCGGCGAAATAAAAATTGGGCGCAATGTAAAAAGGAATACGATTACGGACGTGCACAATTTACGGAGGGTCACCGAAGAAAGACGTCTAGAAATCTCCCGAAAATGGCTTTGGCACGGCTATCTACAGTTGTTCGAAGGAATTTCAGCACTTCAGTGATTAGAAGAGCGGGCTACGGTGAAGGACCAGGCAGTGTAAGATTTGTAAATTTGTCATTTTGACCCCTAAACTTCGAGGTAAATTAAAGTTCACGAGTTGTAAAACCTGCAAGTTGCAAGCAGCAATGCAGCGCTAGCGCAGGAGCCATTAATTTGCAGTTGTCCAATTTCTGGACATATTCCCACATCTGGCCATCACTAATTTTTCCCTCTAGTGACCTATCACTATCAGCCATCAGAAAGTCTAGTAAAAAGTCAAATTTATCATAGAAAAATATTGAAGTATTTCTGCGCACTCGCCTTTAAGTTATAATTTGCAAGGCGTGCATCCTACATCCTAAAAAATGACATAGGGGCCTACTAACCCTTTCACTGGGATCATATCCTTTGATGCACGAACTTTAATCAGCATCCGAAAGAAAATGTGGAAATTGAAGGCTTTACCAGGAATTCAGGCAAAAAAAAATGAAAAACATTGGCATTTTAAGTACAAATGCAGGCAAATGCTTCCGGGCCTGCAGAACTTCAAAAATATGACCGAAAGGTGACCTTTCTTGGTCTCCCAATATCGTCAGTATTATAGTGAAGATGTCATAGATAAGAATTTGCAGTTTCTACAACTAAAAACTTACGGCGCAACTAAAAAGACACATTTGTTATATTATTTTGGAATTTTTTTGGTCATAAGTTTTAAAATCTGACATCTTAAAAACTGTCTCTGTTGATTGGGATGATCAGAATAACAATATCATTGGGATCTACATTTAATAGGTAAATATGTATCTATCTATTTATGTAAATATGTAAATATAGGCCTTTGTATAAATCTCCAAAATGGGATATTGAAAATAATCTTGAAATTACGAAAAGTGTATTGGCATTGAAAAAAGAAAGAAAATATGTTTGAAAAGCTCAGCAAATATATTTTCCTAAAGCCAACAAATCTAAGTTATTAAAAAAAATGTTTATATTGAGTTACATGGCCCGGACAGCACATATTTTTCATGAAGCGTCCCCTGCGCAGAATTAGGCAGGATTCTTTTCTTCAACGCCAAAACTGCGTGCTTTGGAATCCCCGCTTACTGCCACAAATAAAGAGATTTCGCTGTGTTAATCGGTGCGGTGGATGATCGTAAGCCAAACAATATAAGTTTTGTTGAGGAAAAGAGCGGTTGCTTTGCTATTTTTAAGCTACTTGGTTGCAAAGCCTTATCTGTGCAGAAATAGGAGGATCGAGGATATTTCTATTTAGCCAGTACTTAGAAAGTTCAGACCATGACCAGTCTCATTATCATTAATATCAATCAATCATACAGTTTAAGCACTTTAACATTAGTCCAAGTAACTAGGACGAGTTCTACGAATCGCCTTTTCCATTTAAATTCCACTCATTTTCATCATACCCCCCCCCCAAAAAAAATCCTCAGATTTCGAAACCCCCCCCCCCCAAAAAAACCCAGTCCTCAAACTGTCTGAAGAGAAGAGTGGAGTCAGTCATTTCAGAGGCAGTGGTCATTTTACTGACTCTAAGCCAGTAAATACCAATGCATTGATTAGTTTGATCAAAATGTGAAATTATTGGTTTAATAACAAAAGTATCTTCTCTTCCTTTTTGCTGGCCTTGATATTCTGTAATCATTCTTCCGCAAATTTTGGTCAAATAAAAAAAATGAAACGCATTAACGATATTAAAATTGGATTGTTGACCCAACAGAATATGCCATTCAACATCCACAAGAAATGGCGTCTGCTCGGAATAATGACAGTCTTCTTTGGCTCAGCGTTTGCTGCTCCTTTCATCCTGGTTCGCCACCAGCTCCTGAAGAAGTAGACGACCTGGCAACTTAGTATGGTTTTTGTTCATAATTATCCAGTAAGTATCGCTAGTCGTTACAATGTACAAGTCCGGATTTAGCCATTAACCCTAACGGCCCTGAATCCTCCAAAATCCTCTTTGCCAAAGTGAAGGAATTTGGAGGATTGAGGTTACATGGCAAAAGTGCATTACTGATTTCGAAGGATGCACTTTGTCAAGGTCTTGGGCCGGACCTTGTGTTTTTTTTGCTCAGCCATGCATAAATATAGGTCTGGATTATGCTTGAAATCCTCCGTACTGCTCCAGGATGTCACTGGCCAAGCCTCAACCTACTGACATTCACTGCCGCAGGATTTTGCAGGATTCAGGCAGCGGTCACCCCTCCACAGACCATATTCAAGAAATAATGGAGGATTTTGCAGGATTGAGGCTACATCCCAGCAAAAAGGCCTAGGGAGTTGGGGTTAAATACTTTAATTTCTTATGCAGAATTGTCTTTCCATTCCAATGTATTTTTTATGTTTATGCTTTGTAGGATTGATTTGGTTGAGTGAGAAGAGGACCCACGATGGACATCTGAAGTGACGCTTGTTGACATCATTTGAGAAGAATTCCAGCTATAAATAACATTACAGCCATATTACCATCTCACTTTGTGGCACTGGCTGCTAAACCTACAATTGTGTGTACATGTACACTCGGTAGATCTTCAAAGATTTTGCATGAAAAAAATCCCTGGCTCTTTTTTTTATTAAATGAGACAGAAAGTTGCAATGTGTTGAAAACGCCCTGTAACAGTCCACAAAAAAACACACAAAAATTGATCGATAGTGAATTTGGTAAAACTCCCTAGCCAAGTTTCAATTTCACCTCACCTGTTCATTGTGTGCATTCAAAAAGTGTGTCTGATTTAGCTGTTAGTAATACTGTAAATTACTATGATTTTTCAAAGCTACATGTAATACAAAAATGTATGTTATTTACGTTAGGTTGCTTTGCATAAGGCAAGGGAAGTTATAGCCTTTGATTTTGAAACCCAACTTTAATATGAAGAAGCTAATGTAATTTCTGGAGTTTTGTTTAATAATGTGTTGATTGACTTTTTCTTGTGTGTGTTAAATTTAACTCTTCGGTACATGTAGCATGAAAAACCACAAGACGTTTAAATTTGAATTGGCTAGTTTCATACTTGTGAACCACTGTCCTTTATAGCGCTGATATTTTGCGAAATAACAAGTGTAAGATTTCTTCCTTGAGATTTTGAAAGGAATATTTAAAATCTTCTATCAGTTGACTCACTTTTAAGATCAGGAAGGTCACGATTAACAAGCTGTAAATCCAGACTTCAGGTTCATACATGTAATAAGTTTCTCACATGAGGGATTAAAAGAGTTTTATTCACAAAACTTAAGCTGTATGGGTGTCATTACTGCTGTATTACTTGTATACCGGGGCGTTTACCCTTTTACATTTGGAACAAACTAGTGAAGGTTGCGGTAACGCCAAGTGGAAATCTCTTTCGGGACGATGTGTGGTTCTCAGAGATGCCATCAATAAAAAGCCTGAAACACTACTAAAAAATAATCAATAAAAAGCCTGAAACACTACTAAAAAATATATCAATAAAAAGCCTGAAACACTACTAAAAAAAACCTGAAACTACCCTTACCCCCTTTCAAAAATGTGTTTTCTGAATGTTTCAGACCAAATCCAAATTTGATTTGTCACATTTAAAAAAAACAACCCTGAATTCAGGTTAAAACCTCAAAAGTGGCATCTCTGGGTTCTGAAAAGGACCGGTTGGTTGTTAAACTAGACGTTCCGATCAGTTTGCTTTGCTCGTCTTCTGGAGGTTGCCAGACTGGTGGATGGGGCTGCAATTTACAGAGCTGGGTGATGCGTGTAGTAGTGAATGCTGAAGGGTGATTGCTGGGGCGTGGAGATGAGGACGCAGGGAGCTGGACACTAAGGCGTGGTGATGAGGACGCTGGAGGTTGGTCTGAGGTGTAGCGGTGAGGATGCTTGAGGCTGGTCGCCGAGGCATGGAGGCGAGGATGCTGGGATTAGGGGACGCCAGATGTCGCTGAGTCGGAATCCGATCTCATTGACCCTCTAATCCTTCGTGGAAGCCAGTTCGGAGCATCAAGTTTTGCAACCAACCGGTTCTCTTCAGAACCACACATTTTCCCAAAAGAGCTTTCCACATAGTGTTACCACAAAACTTCACTAGTTTATACTACCGCCATGCAAAGTTTCAAATCTTACTAAAATTTGGAATACTTCGCAAACCAAAGGACTTCTAAACAAAGATTTCTTGAAGACATTGGGCAGAACAGCAATAAAACAAACGTTAAAGTGAATGTACCTGTGCGCTTCAACAATGCGTGCAAATTCACTTTTACAACGATCGTTTCTCAAAATTGAACTGTCAATCAACAAACCCATTCAATTTGGAAAGGTGCTTGTCGTTGGGGTGTACATAGTGGAGCAGATAAGGTACATATTTGGGGGCATAGTGCCTTTGATGATACAAGCATGGCATTTGGCACGCAGAGTATGTCATGAGAAAGATATTTGGCTATAGGGCAATTCGCAGATTTGTCCTTTGAAAAAATATACATGTATGTAGAATAAATAGCAAATTTCAAAATCTTCAAAATGGCTGCCCTTGCGTGCCATTCTACCTATATTTTTTTCAAAGGACAAATCTGTGATGGCCCTATAGTCAAATATCTTGTTCATGACATACTCCGACTGTGTGCCAAATGCCATGCTTGTATCATCAAAGGCACAATCCCATCACCTATCTGCCGTACTAACATGCAGACTTGAACAAGTTATCGTTCTGATGGCATCACAATATACAACAACACTGCTAGAAAAAAATAGTTGAATATGACACTAGAATATTTTTTCAGGCAGATTTATTTTTCAAGCAAACTCCACAAGCACAATTTTCTTCTTCAGGAAATGCAACAACATGTAATAGGCAATTCAACCAATGATTTCTCACAATGATTCCTAGAAAGAATTCAATTACAATTTTATAAAAAAGTATTTCAAATATCTGGGTGTGAATCAAATGACGTGGCAATTACTGGCAACATATTCATCACAAGAACAAAATCTAATTTGTGTGGGACTACGGAAATTCAAAAGTTGCTCAACATAATCCGCAAGCTTTCTAAATTCTACAATGTTGGACACTGAGAGTTAATTTTATTGTCCTCATTTTTTTACCGATTTGACGACTCCCTAAATTACAGTGAACCCTTTCTATTCAAGCTCTACCCAGTACCAGCCTTTTGTTAATATAGTCAAACCCTGATAAGAAGAGCACTGTTAAAGGGAAAATACAACATTTGCAAACATCGAAAAATAAAACTACCAAGTTGTTACGAAATACCTTACTAGGATGTTGGTAAATGACAGTCTAAAGCATCCTGTAAAATTAGGGCACCTGGTGTGAAGTCATTTTCAAGAAAAATGGTACTTTTGTATACATTTCCAACGGTGGTCGGCCAACCACCGCTGGAAAACCCTAACTTCTGATCCAAATTTACTGGTTTTTTTTTTTCAGTCCAAATTTTGTTTGCTATTGGTTCCATGTTCATGAACCGGGTGCAGGCCAGCTAGACTGGTTCCCTTACCTTACAATTTTCCAGCATTTTGATCCATTTTATCTTGAGTGGAGTCAGGGAACCAGATTACTCGAACATTTTTGTTTTTCTTGTTTTTCTTGGTTTTCCAGCATTTTCGAACGCAAAACTTCAAACATGTTAGTGTAACAATATTTGATCTTTTATACTAACCCCCCATATAGTTCATTTCTGAAAATTACAGCGAAAGCCAATAATGTACATTCCCTTTAATACAACATCATGCTTATAACAAGCAAAATCTTAGGTCCAAAGTCTTTGTTTTGCTTTGTTTTCCAATACTGTAAATACAAGGTACCTGTTATAACAAGGTAATTTGTAAAGTCCTAAGGACCTTGTTATAAAGGTGTTCGACTGTACACACACATGGCATACATATACAATGTACACAGTACAGTACATGTGCCTTTGCATGCTCAGCAAGGTTTGTCGTCAAAAGTTTTTAACTTGTGCAGGGCATGGTAAAGAAAAAACTCTAAATTCTCTGTTTCTAATAAAAATAAAACGAAGATATTGTCTACATCCTAAAAATGCACAAATCTTACAACTACATTTTGTACAAACTTTGTGAACTGTAACTATAACTACTGCTAGTTCAATTTTACAACAACCGACAAACACAAGAACTCCACAGTTTGGTTAGTAATAAACCTGTTAATAGCCTCATCTCCAACTTTTCATTAATGCCAGTTTTGAAATTAAGGGTTTGCATGGTGGACATGATCAATGAATGGGAGGTTTGCGATACGTAACACCATGTGAATGATATCTCTTTGTGAGTTGTGTGGATCTGATACACCGTGCCCTCTGGAGACATGCACACAATAGGGAACAAAAGATTGTATACGTCTCCACAGGGCAATTTCCATAGATGAATACGTCTCCACAAGGTTTTCACGAAATAGATATATGGATTTTACTCAAAAACTAGGAACTTCCAAGGTATGTTGATGTGTCGCAAATGGTAGAGTTTTAGAAAAGGGATATTAAGTCCGAATTTCAGCCAAGGAAATTAATTCTGGTTAAAATAGGAGCATTTTGAAACTGTACTTTCAAACTCGAAAACTTTAGTACATGAGAACAAAGAAATGTCTCCACAAGGATACACATTTCAGCATTTGTGTTCTCAGAAGAACCAGTTGGTTTAACTCCTGTCTCCTGATGGCGAGCAGAGCATACTATTCAAAACGTATAGTTTAACTAACTGGTTCTTCTCAAAACCACGCACCTCACTCATTCACATGTTGTTACTCCCATTCACAGTTTTGAAGACTGAACAACATTTAAAACTCTTTGTATTTTTGCATCATCACGCCTTGTTAAATTTACCTTTCTTTGTCCCCAAACAAATTGTGGGTTTCACTGGTACCTGTCTGCTTAGTACCTATTTTACTGACTTAAACTTGTAGGCCCCTCAGACCAAATTGGCTTGGGACCAGCTTCACTAAGGCTCGGCCTGTCTTTAATCATTTGTTTTACGCAGGACAATTTTTGCCCCTGTATGAAGAGCCTGTTTTTTTCTCTTTTTTTTTCTTCTTCAAATAAAAGCACTTAACTAAAAACATAAAAGACAAAACAGTGTGCAAATTGGTTAAGCTCAAATATACAGCTTTTGGTGCAGAAAGTGGCAAAACAATGCTAGTTTTATACCACTAGAACGTGGTTAAAACAAACAGCATAACTACTTCATGTTAGAACAAAATTACAGGTAACACTCGTCTGAAGATACAATTTGCCATTTTGAACAGTGATTATAATATCTTCCATCCATCCAGACTTTTTTATATCGGGTAATGATTGGAAATGCATTGACGAGAATACAGAAATATGAAACTTAACTTGTGCATCCAAGCGCCGTACACTTATGGAAAATAAAAGGATGGTCGATCAGAAAAAAATCCTTCTCTAGATACTTGCATAAGATTGGCAACAGTTTTTTACAACAGCCAAACATTTCTCAGTAATATTTCAAAACTATTACTGAGGCACTGCAGCTAGTTTTTATTTGTAATTAAAAGCGCTCCACTAAAAACTTGTATGTATTTTGCCCCAGGGAAATGTGTACAGTTGAGTCTCGTTAATACAAACTCGTTCGGACCTAGCTAAAATTGTTTGTTATATCAGAAATTTGGATTAGGAGGAACATTAGTCCCATTCATTGTGCACATGAATGCACAGTCGGGACTAAGGCTTTATGTTTGTTATCACCAGAATTGTGTATTAACAGAGTTTGTACTTACAAGATTTGTACTTACTATCGACTGTAACGGGCCAAATGTAATCATACACATGTAACATCATAAACAATTTGCTTTCTTTCTTTCTCTTTAATTACAAACGGTTCAACATTACCTATGTGTACACACGTGTACATTTTGTTAGATGATGATGCAGAGTTATACTACAGTTATCTTAGAATCGACGGATACTGAATCTGTTGTCTGGCTGCATCTGCTGCAGTCGATCCATGCCCATGTTGACACCAGCCGAACCCATCGGCATCTGACTGCTTCCCATGAAAGCGCCGACACCCATGGAACCCTGGGACATCATGCCCATGTTCCCAGACATACCTCCGCCGAGACCACCCCCGATGTTACCCATCATGCCCCCGCCGCCCATGTTACTCATGAGGCCAACACCTGCGCTTCCTGCAACGCCACTGCTACCACCCCCGCCCATAAACTGACTCCCGATGGTATTCTGGTTGTTCATCATGGAGCTCATGGGCTGGTTCTGGTTCATCATGTTGGACATGTGCGATGTGCCCTGCATGCCAAGGGAACTGGAACCTCCGCTACGATTGGCGGAAGAATCCAGTCCACTGGGAGGCCAGCTGGCCGACTCCTGGGCAGGTGGTTCGCCAAGGATGCTGCCTCGATTCTGCTGCTGTTGCTGAAGAGGCTCTTGCTGGTTCATCATAAAGTCACCTCGACCGAGGAGTGAGGTAGTCCCACTCATCCGTGTGTTCACACTCTGACTGGATGAAGACTGCATGGGAAAATCTTGCTTCTGTTGCTGCTGGAAGTTGCCAAACCCACCAGACACATTGGAGCGACCCAAGCTTTGGTTTCCCCCACCCACGTTTGCTTTCCAGTTGCTGCCCGACACCACGTTGCCTCCATCACGATTTCCCTTCCAGCCATCTCGTGAGTCGCCGCTGCCTCCGCCATGGGAAGGCATCCTTGCTGAGGTGCCATCTCTTGCCTTATCCCGATCATCTCTGAAATCTCTGGTGTCTCTCTGCGAATCCCGATTGCTGAAGGAACTGTCCCCTCCCCTTCCGCTACCTGATCCCTGGTATCTGGTGCTCTGCTGGTTGGACAGCACTCTGCGTTCATCTCTGTCATGGTGGTCTCTTGATTCCCTCCTGGAATCCAGTCTTTTGATGGGTTCCTCAATGCGTTTGTATCCTTCATCTCTCCGGTAGCTATCCCCTCTCTTTCTGGAGCCATCATTTTTTGATGGATCGCCGTCCCGGTTGGCTGACCTCTGACGGGAATCATCTCGTCTGTCATTACTGCGTCTCCCCGGTTCATATCTCCTTTCGACATCAGAGCGTGATCTGTCATCCCTACGTTGGTTGGAACCCTCTCTGTATTGGCTGGTTGAAGTGGGAGCACGCATGCCACTGCTGCCACCAAACCCAGATTGCTGCGGACTGCCAAACTGTCCTTGGTTGAGATCATGCTGGGAAGGAGCGCCCCCTTGGTTTTGCTGCTGATCGTACTTCGCTACGTGACGCTCCCCAACAGCCACCACCAGTCTGGTGTCCGAAGGGGTTGTCTTGTTGAAGTTTCCCGTCATGCCCTCTTGCATCATGGCCCGCCGCTTGCGGTCGTTGCTGTAGGGATCTAAAGCTTGCTGTGCTGCGGCCTGCTGTGCTGCGGCCTGCTGTGCTGCAGCCTGCTGTGCTGCGGCCTGCTGTGCTGCAGCCTGCTGAGCTGCAGCCTGCTGAGCTGCAGCCTGCTGGGCCACAGCCTGCTGAGTTGCCAAGGTCTGGGTCTCCAAGGTGCGCTTGAGTGTGGCCAGTCGCTCCTGGTCGATCTTCAGCTGGATCTCCATCTTGCGAAACTCTTGCATCTCTCGCTGGAACTTCTCCCGTTCCTGGACCATCTTCAGGCGATCCTTCTCGATACGTTGGCGCTCAGCCCGTTCCTTCTCTAGTTTGGCCTGCTCAGTCTCCAACTGCTCCCTCTCCTTGCGGAGCTTTCGCAGCTCTTCCCGGTAGCGCCTCTGCACATCTTCCCGCTCCCTGCGGATCCTCTCCTCCCTCTCTCTGTCCCGGCGACGTTCAGACTCTCTTTCGTCCTTCTCCCGTCGTCGCTGGTACTCCTGGCGCTGCTTCTCTTTTGCCTCATCCAGCGAGAAGACTTTGTCTTTCCTGTCCTTATCTGACTGAGAGCTTGAACGTCTGGAAGAATCTTTCCCCGTTGATGAAGATTCACTCTTCTTCGACGCATCTGAGCTGCCAGATGGTGTCTTGTCATTCTTGCCTGTATGATAACAACAACAGGTATAATTCAGAGATGAAACTGGCATAGGGGAAAGAAATCGGGAAATAGCCCAACAATTGCACGTGTCTGAAATCTGGGCCGCGCTGCAGTTACATGCAATTGCATGTACAATACACTTCATGCCTGATTTCCGGACACCCACTCCTGTGTTAACTTCGATCCAAAGTAAATTTACGATGAAAAACCTGGCCAGTGTTCTCGTAAAATCAAAAAGCCTGAACTACGGTTAGCGGAACAGACTCCTCAACAAAGAAGCTCACTTCTTATTTGAAAAGTCAAGGAAAAAGTCCAAAAGACAAAGGCACCATTCATGACACCACGTATCGTACGTGGGAAAGAAAAAATGGGCATTATCGTCTTTTTCTTCCAACAGTGATTTTTTTAAAACCTTTTATCCAACTGGAAAAGGCTCCGATCAGTGTTGGCCTAGGTGTTTCTACCATAGAAACACTCCATTAACGACTGTTGAAAGAGATTAAAACTACGATCGGGATAATTTTTACATGCCATTTTCATTGACTTTTCATTAATTTTTTTTGGGAAATTATAGTCTAAACAATATCACCTTTTTGCAGGATGAATCGTAAACAATCTGAAATTTTAGTTGGAAAAGTCAGAAAGTTGGATTACTGATTAAAATCGGGAGAAGTTTCATTTCTGATAATTTAATCCTCCTTAAGTTGTAAGGGAACGATCCAATATATCCATGACATCAACTGCACATTGTTTTACATTGCATTCTTTTCATTTGCATTTTTTGATAGCATTTCATTCAAGAAATTAAGTTCAGATTCATAGTGATAGGCAGTTGTGCAATGTATTTACTCCGTGTAAATGTTCATAATTAATTGATCCACGTTTGATTTTCTGACAGTATGTTGCTATCGCAGTTTTAAAAAAAAAAAATTTCGTGATGGCAAAACTGTAAGTTCTGTTCTTTCCGTTAGCTGCTCATTTTCTTTACCTTCAACACTCGTCTTGGTTCCTGTTGTCGGCTTCTTTTCGTTCTTATCAACCTCTTTTCCAACTGTATCCTCCTTCTTAGCAGTTGATCCCTTGTCATCCTTCTTCACGGGGGCTGAGGGAGCTTTCTCTTCCTTCTTGTCATCCTTGGAGACAGGTGTGGCTGCTGCTTTCTTGACGTCTGCTTTCTCCTTGTCATCTTTCTTGGCTGCGGGAGTGGAGGACGTCGACGTGGAAGACTTCTGGGCGACCGATCCGGCCGTTTGATTACGAGCCTGGTTGCAAAAACAAAGATACAACAGGTTTCGAGGATTACAATTGTCTATTTCTAGTGTTGTAGTCGAGTACTTTTTTCTGAATACCGAGTACTGCCGAGTACTTAGGTTGCGGAGTACGAGTATAAGTACTTGTGCCTCCGAGTACAAGTACAGATCTCCGAGTATGAGTACTTGTACTTCTGAGTACGAGTATGACTACTTGTTCTTCCGAGTACTAGTACGAGTACTTGTATTTGTATTTCCGAACACGGCCATATGGCAATTGGTTCATTATGTGTAATTGGCCCAGGCCTAGTCAGACCGATATACAGACCCACTCCATCTAGCAGTTAAATGTGTTTGTCCGGACGTGCTCAGAGGAAAATCAGAAAACTACAATTTTTTTTCACAAGCCAATCAACCATTTCAAACTGAAAGTATCGATAAAATAAGGCCATGGTAAGTCAAGCTACACCCCCAAGTACTGCTATTCGAGTACGAGTACTTTGATGATCAAGTAAAATTTTGACATGTTGAGTACGAGTACTTTGCTGCCCGAGTACAAGTACCGTCATTTCGAGTACGAATACTTTATATTCAAGTACGAGTACAAGTACGAGTACTCCAAAAAAGTACTGGAGTAGTACTCCAGTACCGAGTACAAGTACTACAACACTGTCTATTTCCTTATGGGCTCCGTGAGCCGACAACGAGGGCGCCCTTTTACCTAGCAACGACGTCCCATGGGCGGGACATTTCGCTGGTTGATGCGCACCGTTCCTTGTGTGTGATGCACGTACACCAGGGGATTTGTACTATGTCCACGCAGTGGCTGCACTTCGCGCGCGGCAAATGAATTGCAGTCAGGCAAGATGGCGTCGGTCGGTCACCCCCAACTGTACTCTCTTTGCCGGTGAGGGGGTACTTGTAAACGGAGCGGATACCAGATCAATATTACGTCTCATACATAATTATGAACCACAGGCCCAACAAAAATTTGTGTCTGAAATCAGTTTTACATTCTTGGGGTTACTCCAACAGAATCTACGTGATTCTTTTTATAAACTTTCATGTTGAACCAGTGTTGTTGTCGAGTGAAAAGTCCCCAAGTCATCACTAGTCCATCACAATAGCGGGACAGCTGGATAGGGGAAATATTTGGGGGAACTGTGCATTTGATGATACAAGCATAGCATTTGGCACACAGTCAGAGTATGTCTTAAAGCCCGAGTCCATCATTTGCAGCTATCCAAAAAAGTAACTGGCGTAATTATTGTTGAAAAACATACTGGATGAAAGATAGTAAGGGGACTAAACTCCCTGTGAAATTATCCTTTCTGGCAAGCTCTCATTTTGAAGAAATCAACGAAAGAAGGCATTTCCAACGGTGCTTCTTAAGAAGCACCGTAGAAAAATTTAAATTAGTTGTTCGTTTTGTTATTCGGCGCAGCGCGCACAAGCATTGGAACGACGCACAGGCGCGCGCGGTTGCTATAATTCGTCGGATCAGTGCGCGACATCGCGTAAAGCTGCAATTCAAAACAATTCGAAACATGATTTAGCAACTTTTGATTTTAAACAGAATGCTGTTTTTCTCGGAATATGAAGCTGCAGCTGAGCTGAAACTTCATCAAGTAAGTTGTTCAGTATCCCTCATTAGATTTTGAACACTTTTGTTGCTTCAAACGAACAAAATGCACTAATTACAAATGATGGACTATACAGTCGGCTCCCGTTATAACGAGGTCCGATGGACTTTCACAATACTGTCGTTATAGCCGGAACCTCGCTAAAACCGGAGCGCAGTTTTCCCCATTCGTTGTGCACAAGGTACGGTACATGTGCGTGCGTGTTTTAATCGTGTAACGCACGTCCGAAGACATGAAAAGATGGTCATTTGTTGGTATGTACGTCTGTTAATAATGTATATTAAATATTTAACTGATGGTGATGAATAAATGAAATAAATAAAATACCTTTGAGGGAACATTGTTCAATATTTGAGGACCTGAATCCGGAGGAAAAGGCATCATCGCTGAGAAGAATCAGGCAAGTAGGTCACTCGCACAAATCGTGCCGAGTGACATTTTGCTTTCATTTTGCATTTGCTGGAATCGGGCAAGAGAGGGCGCCAATACATGCATTACTTCCGGGTTTTAATGACTCCTGATCCTTAGATGCTTTTTGGTTGTTGACTTTTTGGAACAGTTGGGTATTATTGTTTCTGAAGGGATTCTTTGAAATTGTAATTATTTCGGTTAACTATAGCGCACATTCGTGCCAAGTGACATTTTGCTTTCGTTTTGCATTTGCTGGAATCGGGCAAGAGAGGGCGCTAATATTACTTCCGGGTTTAAGTGTCTAAATGTGTAATTTCGCAGCAATTGGTGATTATTATTTGTCGGGAGGGATTCTTTTAAGATAATAATAATAAATAAACAAAAGTAATAATTTTGGATTAAAATTTGTACAATGTATATGTGGTGGGGCGTTTGAAGATCTTGGAAACCTGTTTTCATTGGGATTGTTTTTTCGGCGGGGCCGGAGGGGTTCTTAATTTGTTTAAGATTTTTATTTTTTTATTCTTCGGATTCTTTTTTGGGGGTGGGAAACACGGTATGTTTTAAACTTTATTTTTTGAAGACAGACTGAATTATCTCTGTTTGGAAGTTGTGGTGGCTCTAAAAAGAGCCGTTTGTTTTGTGATGCTGTGTTCTTTACTTCGTATTTTTTTTTATAGCCACAAGCCAACAATAGGGAGCAATTACGCACCCGATGTTCGGGCGGTAGTACTAAAGGCTATTCCTTACAATGTTAACACTTAACTCCTGAGCGCCCCCTATTGTTAGTTTGTAATAATATAGAAACGTGGTACCGCAGTCGTAAGCAAACTTCAAACCTGGTCACGCTAAGGGAAACCGCAGCGGGGGATTAGCGACTAGACCAGCGGTCCACTGCGCCGATTATCACAGTCCCATTGAATTTATTTATAAAGATCGGCGAGATGAAATAACGTTGGGTTGAAGTCTTTACAAAGGTACATTGATGGGTGAAGCTTAAGTGTGTTGCTTGAATTGGAAGACGGGAGCATGATACCCGTTTCGGGACAAAAGGTCTGTCGTTGACAAGCTGCAATGCCCGTAGTTTTGAAAAGATGTCGTTGTAAATGGGTTGAGAACAATGCTTTTCCTCGCATTGGGTCAGCCAAAATCGTCGTAATAGCCGAAGTCTCGTTATGTCCGTGCACGTAATAACCAAATATTTCCCCATAGTAATGTACACAAATTGATCGGGACTGGCAGAATGTGCTCGTTACATCCAGGTTATCGTTATGACCGAGCTCGTTATAACGGGAGTCGACTGTAGCTTTAACAGATCCAATGATGCTTACCCACGTCACATCGATAGTGCGACCGTGTAATTTGGTGCGGTGCAAACACTCGATGGCCTTGGATCCTTCCGCATTGGAAGACATGGAGAGAAACCCGTAGCAGTGATGGCCAGGCAGTTTGGCGTTCCATATGATCTTGGCACCGATCACCTGAACAGTTTGGTTTGAAAATATCAAGTCATCACAAGTCAGTCACAAGCCAGTACAGGTCCACCACAAGTCATTATGAGCATTCTAAGCCTTCCTCAGACAACTTCTGAGGTAGGTTATTAATATTTGGAGCAAAATGTGACCACTTTTTCAGCGTGGAGCGATTAGGATATCAGTATTTGCTTGTCAGAGTGGCGTGAGCACAACGCTCGGGTTGTTCTCAAGGTGGCACTGCAGCTACACATGGTTTGTTGTGCTTTTCACATCACTTTAAAATTACACATATGGTCTACATGTAAATTCAGTTCGTTAATACCCCCATTTTCTCCAAGAATTCACACTGGTTAAAATTAGAGATCCAAAACCTGATTTCTGGGGGGAAATGGAAAGGTCACATCCTTTTCCAATCACATAAAAAAATTTCAATAACCCAAAATACAATTTCAATATCCCAAATAATTGCGCGCGCACCTGCAACCATAAAGCCCAATGAATCGTACACCAAACATTAGTGCATTGTGGGGCCAATCAACGTCATTTAAACTTAAGTTAGATTCTTTGGGAACGAGAAGACGCATTATGGTTTGTAGAGTGGTTCCCAGGCCCTCCACTGTCCCTCGGACTTTGAATGTAAACCAGCCTATTTTGGAAAGCAGGAACCAGTTTGACCCCTGCGCCGTGCTGGCATATTCAATATTGTACAATGTAATAGGCGCTGCTAGTGTGGGATAGTCTGTCAGTCACGTAGGACTTCTTTGGTTTTGACAATCTCTGAGATAGATCGCTTAATCATAGCGACATCAACAAAATAACTTCAAGAATTCTTCATGACTGATGGTTGAACTGATTTGACAGCAATAGAGAAAAGATGCAACAAAAACAAATTTCCTTAAAAAAAAGGGGCGGTGCGGACCCCCCTCCCCCCAAAAATCTGCCCATGATGTATTTGTGACGGTTATAAAAAGACACCCCCGTTATTTTTAGGTTCAACCTTATTTACATGTAAATTCAAATTAACCTAGTGCCCCCAACGTCTGATATCAGGCGCTAGCTCATTCGTTATTTCCCAAAGACCTGAAGTAACATCACTTCATGTAAATCTTGTCTTCACATATACAGGTAATTATTACTATCTTTTTATTTTCATTCTTATTCTTTACATCAATAACCTTAGATGACATCACAATACCTCGACTACCCATTTCTGTTTGTATTTCCTTATTCCCGTATTTAATGGTATTTTAAACTAAGTTCTATTCTTGAAACGTTGAAATTCAAGATGGCCGACCCCGCAAAAGTTTCGGCGGGAAAACGTAACTATTGTTTAATCATTTGAATGAATCATTATTATTTCATGAACTAAAAGTAATTCGAATTCATCTTGCTCTAATCTTACTGATTAATTGTAGCCATTTTGTAAATATATTTTGATTATTCGTTATTTCCCGAAGACCTATAGTAACATCACTTCATGTAAATCTTGTCTTCACATATACAGATACGGAATAATTCGCTGCTGCATCTACCACAACTAAAGAGCTTCCGATCCCTTTTTTCAAGAGTGTCACATATTGATGAGTTATTCAGTCGTACCTTGCCGTACTTGCTGAAGGCGGTTTTGAGATCGGCTGCTCTGGTCTCCTTGGAGAGGCCACTCACCCAAATGTTGCAGTTTCCGGAGCTTCCTTTTTGGATCAACACGTAAACAAGAAAAAGAACACAAATGGAAGGAAATTCAACTGGACAAGACTGAAATCCAAAATTATCGTAAAAAAGTGCTGCACTTATACTACTGTCTACTTTGACCTCAATTTACATGTTGACCCAAAGTGGGCGTGGTAAGCCTTGGTGAAGCAATTTCGCCACATTTTCATAGTCAACGTTATGTTTTGCGTAATAGCGATACGTTTTGGAGTGTTTTCACAGAGATAAGGCCAAAAAAAAAATAAGTCGGTCTCTGGTCAGCGCGCGCGTCGATTTTAATCATGCGCGTCAACCTTTTTTTCCCCCAAAATGTTCCGCGGTAACTCCAACAGCGCCCTCTATTGCCGCACCTCCTCAATTTTTTTTTTTACCAAAGAGCACCAAGGAATGGGAAATTGCACCAAGGCAAATGATCAAGAGCACCAAGGCAAATTATGGAGGACACCAATGTACACGAGGACACCAAAAAAGCCGAATAGTACCCCACCTTGTCTGTACAATCCAAGCTTGAAGAAAAAAAAAGAAAAGCAAAAAATAAAAAAAAAAAGCCGCATCGCCGCGTCAATTCCGGAACTTTGGTCTGAACAGAGACCATATATATATATTTTTTTGGCCTAATGTAATTTTTAACTATTCAAAGTCTGAAAGAAACAAATTTGCAAAAAAAATCAAAAAAAAAATCTCAACTAAATCATTTTTTCACGTGCCAACCATGACTTCAGGGGACAGTGAAATCGGAGCATTATGTACCATTTAAGGACTTGCATACAATAACCAAGCCTCCCTATTAACCATTGCATTTTGTTGGACGGTGATCAGTTGACATTTGAAACCGTTAAAAAGTTTAGGCTCAAGAGTAGAGCAACAGACTCGTACCATTTTCTTTTCTTACTACATTTGAACAATGGTTAGTTGAACCTACCTTTGTTGTCTTTCGAAGCATCTTTTCCAGTTGATGTTTGGCTGGGGAAAAAAAAATGCAATGTTTATCGGATATTAGAACTTTTACTTTGTGATGCATTATGGGATGTACAATTTCTTCCAATTAACTTTCATTACAAGTTGTGGTTCCATCTCAAAAGTCACATTAATATTTACACACCTCAAATGAAAACACTTTGAAACCGGATGATTAGTAGAGTTCTCACAACCATTTGAATATGTATTCTCTCTATTTACTACTATAAGTGTTAACTATAATACAATAAATTGGGGAAGTACAGGAATATTTAAAATGAGACAAAGGCATCAGCTTCATTGACAATGACAATGCATGTGCTACAATACACAGGCACAATCCAGCACAAAAATGCTGTATGGAATATTTCATCCAGTTAATAAAATTCTCGGTTTCTAGACTTTTATTTTCATTTTGTGTGTGTGCGAGTATTTTGCGCACAGTCCTCTAGTCTTCACTTTAGATTACTTGACCCTTAACTATTCCCAAACAGTCAAACTCCAACACCAGGGTTTGTTGGAATCTGTTACTGATTATGCTTTACGTGGGATTAGGCATACCACAAATAAACAGAGTCCAACTGTTTATGTGTACAGTTTACCATATGGTGTTGGAATTTGCAAAGACGTGGAAGGTTCCTACATGTAGTAAATCACCCAAGGGATTAGGGTTCACCCCCTAAGGGTTCCTCCGGGACTACTCTGCTAAATCCAACAGAGTCCAACAGTTACTTCCTGCTCCATCCAACAGAATCCAACTGTGCCTAATATTTAGTTGTCTGCTGGATCCAACAGAATCCAACTTGGCGTTACTTATCAGTACCCAACAGAATCCGACTCTGAATATGTAGATGTACATTTTGTACAAGGGGTTTACTGCTCAATCCGACAGGCTCCAACGGGTTAATGATATAGTTGGATCCTGTTGGATTCAGCAAGGTTTAATCACAGGGTCAACGCCATAGAGCTCTCAACTTCATTAGGCGTAATTTCCATGTGTTCTAAATCCATCAAAGAGAGGCTCCACTTCACACTTGTGGGACCACACCTTGAATCATAGCACCACTGCTTGGAATCCATACAGAGTGAACCACATTACATCTCTAGAGAAGGTTCAAAAGAGAGCTGCAAGATTTCTTTGTGGAGACTACTCAAGAAAGAGTAGTGTGACTAACATGCTGGCAACCTTAAATTGGGTAACCCTCCAAATGAGGCATGATAACCACCGGATTGCAACCCTGTTCAAAATCCCCTGTCGCATCATCACAATAGATTAGATTCTAGTCACATCCTGAAGCCAAAAGCTGGGGGGTCAAAATGGCAACAACAAACAATTTGAGAGAACCCATCAACATCAACACTTGAACACTCGTTCTTTCTGAGAACAATCAAGGTATGGAACAATCTCCATCAGACAGTTATTGACCCGTCGTCACCGGCAGTTTTTAGTAACAGCTATAGGCAACTGCATGTGCATGTACAACGTGATAACCACTCAAAATCAAATCCAATTAGTTTCCACTCTCCTGAAGGCCTCCTTGTTAATATCCCTCGCGGAGAATTCAGGAAGAATTTCTACCAAGTAAAAGGTACCACTAACACTTTTCAAAAAAGTATTCTAGCCACTCGAAAAACAACAATAGCAAGTTTTCAGTTGCACCATGAGAAGAAGAAATCTCTTCATGAGTTTGTGTGGTTCTGAAAAGAACCAGAGCGAAACAACTTTTTGGACAGAATGCTCTGCCCGTCATCAGGACATCGCCTTCTTACTTGAAAGACAATACATGCTGTAGCTTTTGCCGCGACCAAATCTACAGATCATTCCCCATTCAATACACAGGTAGACGCTTCATACAAGCACATGCATACACGTAATAAGAATAATAATTTGCAGGGCTAATCATCCTTACTCTCAGCTGAGTAGCTGAATTACGAATGACGCGGCTACAACTTGGTCGAGCCGAAGGCATGTAAAGGCGCCTTTGGCAGCTGCCATATGACTGAATGTATGACCACGGAGCACAGCCAGAGATCGAAAGTGTTTGATTTTTGTGGAAGGAGGACAACTGGAGAGCCCGGAGAAAAACCCTTGTGGCACAGGAGAGAATCAAGGCACAACTCTACTCACATATGGTCCAAGCTGGGAATTGAACCTGGCCCACAGTGGTGAGAGACAAGCGCACTAGCCACCCATGCCACCCTAAAAACATGTACGTGTACGATTGGTGTCAATGCATGACAACTGTACAACAAATACCAGGTGGTTTGAGAGGACTTGAAACTCTACCAGGTGGTTTGCGAGGACTTGAAACTCTACCAGGTGGTTTGAGAGGACTTGAAACTCTACCAGGTGGTTTGAGAGGACTTGAAACTCTACCAGGTCGTTTGAGAGGACTTGAAACTCTACCAGGTGGGTTGAGAGGACTTGAAACTCTACCAGGTGGTTTGAGAGGACTTGAAACTCTACCAGGTGGTTTGAGAGGACTTGAAACTCTACCAGGTGGTTTGAGAGGACTTGAAACTCTACCAGGTGGTTTGCGAGGACTTGAAACTCTACCAGGTGGTTTGAGAGGACTTTCAGGGATTGCAGAAGGTAGAGCCTATCCTCTATTACTTCACATGGGGCTTGAGGCCCCTTGAAAGATTCAAGGGCAAAGAATATGCCATTGGTTTACTGCACAATGGAGGGTTTTGGAGGATTCAGGAATCCAAGCAAAAACATGTCAGCTGTTTGTTTTGAAGACGGCGATACATATAATAGATGTACTCTTTCAGTACGTGCGTGGGAAACGGTATATCACAGAATGAGGTCCAAGCGCATTATTTCCAGGGCATGAAAACACTTTGTTGTCATTTGGGGTCCTTCAGGTGAGATTCAGATGCGATTAAGCCGTAACCTCAGCAACTTCATATTAACTATAGCACTCCAAGATCCCTCGTCTAGGATTCGGGACGATTTGAGACTTCAGATTTCCTTTTTTTTTAAGTGGTGCATGAAGAATGTGCCATACTTTTAGGCGAATAACATGTAAGAAAGATTCCTAAAATGCCTAGGGAGTTAGTTTAAATAAATACTGATAAAAGAACCCAGGACACGTCTTGTGGAAGGGTAAGCCGTTTGCTCCTTTTCCCCCACTTAGGATGCAAGATGCATGTTACCAACGGAAATTTACATGTTTTAACCCATCCACAACTGTACTGCATTGTACTACACTGTACTACACTGTGTTTATTCCCTAATGAATCCATAAAACCACAGAGTGCTCAGGTGTTTTGGGGCGCTACAAGGAGTAATAGGCTGGGCGGTTTGGGGCGGTTCAGTGACTCATGGGTTAACTCAGTTAAAAGACTTGAGTGCGCATTTCCAGTCGTCAGATTTTTTTTAAAAGGCTGAAGACTGCTTGTAGTCAACTGATATTGAAGTTTTTAACTCAGAAGATTCCCGAGTATGCCACAAAGGCCTGTGAAATCTTAACTTCAATAACGATTTTAAAGTTAAAACTCAAGATCAACACACCAAGTAAAGAAAAATAAATACTTAAGAGCGATGTAAATATACTAAGAGGATTTTTACCTAACCAAAGTTTTTTGTATATTAAAACTATATACATGTGCTTGGTACATGTACATTACAAAAAGAAGAGACCACTTTATTTTAAGTAGGCCTACACAGCAACTGCAGCTAAGGATAAATAAAAGCTAAACCATTTTCTTCTTTATTCGAGTATGGAAATCTTGAAGATCTCAAAACATTGCATACATGTTGAACTTCATCGAATGAAACAATGGAGAACACAGACAAATTATGATGTTACTGGGGGGCTTGATGTGCACTTAATGTTTCTACACAAATATGAAGAATCAAAAAGTAACTTTAGCTTTACCTACACATTACCATGTTGTCACAAGTGAGCAAATTGCAAGCAATAGATTCAAACCTTTTGCTGGGTTGGGCAACGGTTCCTGTGGCAGGTGCGGCTTTCTTCTCTGCCGTCGAGTCTTTGTTTGAGGCAGTTTTACCAGAAACACTCTTTCCGCCGTCTCCGTCCGTGGTCTTAGGTTTGCCGACAATGTTCCCAGAATTCCCTGACACAGTTTTGGTACCCTTCGCCCCGTCGTCTCGGGAGGCAGAATCTGCCTTTTCCGGTTGGGATCTGGTAGACTCTCCCACCGCGGTGGGTTCTTCTGGTTCAGCTTCCTCAGTATCTTCGACAGGCTCTACCATGGACTCATCTGCATCTTTGGTGTCAGAAGCGGGATCAGAGGCATCGGCAGCCAGGCCAGATTCATCTTCCTCTTCGTCAGCTGCCCCGGTTACTTGTTCTGCACCTAGGATGGAAGACTTTGATAACCCCCCTGTCTGGCTTCCTATGCGCTTCGTGGTTCCAAGCGCACAGGATACTGAACAGCAATTGTAAACAGACAAATCTACAAATGACAAATAACAGCTGGTCTAAAATGGATGTTACATGTAACAATCTACAAATGCACTTGAAGTTGCACAAAATGATGAAATTGCCAGAGGCCAAATCAAAACGAAACGTTATACTGCCCCCGTGATAGTTTAAAGAGAAAAGACTCATTTTAAGGAGACAATCTTGTTTCTGACACCTTTAGCTGGCATTCACCTTACTGACACATTCACAGGTACTAGTTTCTACCGAGCTTAGCTTACCCGGACGACTCAGAATTGATAAGGTAAAGAGTTACACTGATCTAACAGTAACATAGTGTTTGTCAAGTCATTCCTCTATGGCTCCAATGTGACAAATGTGGCTCTGTAGTTTCTGCTACCAGTTCGAAGGTTCACACCACAGACTTCATCCTGCATTCGCATCTAGCGGTACAACACATGTAGTGAAGGGTGTTTTTACAGTTCAAAGCTTAACGGCTTTCAATGTTAATGTTCCGAAATCTTGATCTCCACGTACTGTTTGTATCATCAGACGCCATCAGGATATCAACCAGGCAATGGGTGTCTACGATGCTGTCATACCGATAACTCATTGGGGTTCTTTGGTGGACCTTGAAGTATCAGCAGTCCAATTTTTGATTCCTCCGTCAAACCAGTCTTTGCTTGCCTCATCGATTCATACTGCAGTGCAAGGCAGATTTCAAAGTCGCTGGTATACTCGCACACCTGGGTTATCCATCTCTGCAGTTCAGTTCTTTTGCCATGCTGAAGTGGTCTGGGTTGATTTCTCTCTCAGCACCGGCAGGATCGGCACGAATGATGTGTCCGCTTCACCAACCGACAATTCACTCCAGACGAGGAGTTCTGACTCTACTATACGCCAAATGAAGTAGTAGGAGAAAATCCGTTTTGATGCTCGCCATCACTGGTTGAAAGAAGATGCCAGTGGTCTGGTTCTCAGGTCTCAGAAATGCTTCTTCATCCTACGATTCAATTTCCTGGCTTCACTTTTAAATGCAAGAGTTAAACGTTTGAAGGTTTCTATCTGCAGGCTACATAGTTCACACAGTGGGTTTTCCAGATGCAGGCGACAACTTTGATGAACAGCTTCCAAGACGTATTGCATGTGTGGGTGCAGGCAGCTACGGTTGAGGCCTAGTCTGTGGCGTGCAGAAATCCTGTCACAAGCTAAGGCTAAGCTCCCAGCCTGGGGATCTATGTACACGTCCATAACCAACGTCCTCAGAGTTTCCACGACAAGGAGTAAGGGGTGCCCCTTAGTCCATGTGACTTGAGTCTGTGACAAATCTGAACCGTCATGTTGAGTTGAATCAGTTGCTCCCAAATCTCTGGCTGCACTGAGCACAGTTCCTCCATCAGGACACAGGTGAAGCGCTTGGACATCAGTTCTCCATCAACAAGTTCCTCGGTGTTTTGCTAATGTTGGTTCCAGCTGCGCCACTCTGTCACAAAGTACACGATCTTGCAGGTCGGGTTCCGCCGGGCACCAGTCGCTCCAGATCTTGAGCAGCACACGCTCGTACATCAGTTCCACGCAGTCACTTTAATGCAGGTCTTAGCAGCAGTTAGCTTGGCCAGTCTCTTTATTCCCCCAGTCAATCAGCCAACTTCTCGGTTAATCACTCCGTTCGTCAATCTTTAGAAACTCAAGGGTTACAAGGTTCAAGATCAAGCTGAAGGACTTCAGATGCTCCGGATACTCAAATGTTTGAGAGGATTTGTTCTTTTCTAATTGTTCAGTGGGAAGTTATCGTCAGGCCAAGTGGTCGGCTGTTCCTGATTTGTAAAGCAATCACCAGCAGAGATATGCATAGTCCTGCACACTGTTCAATAGGTCATTGTAGATGGTCACGCCACGTAGCTGACAAAGTGGATCACATTAATTTCTCTCCGCTCCATTTCACAGCTGCGTCAGTAACCTCTGGCATCCAAGTAAATCCCTTCTTTCTCTCATTGGGACTTTTGATGTATTCCCCTGCCAGCCCCTATTTACACCATGTCATGCAAACTTTAACCCCACTTCTAATTTTAGTTTTAAACCAGAAACTTTTCTCTTCGTCAATTTGATTCAGATGAGGTGACATTTTTTGTGAAATAAAAAATGTATCATCACAGCCACAAAGGGGTCGCATGAGGTACATGATAAAATAGGGAAGATGTCAGAAACAAGCTTTCTCAGAAAAAAAGGAAAAAAGTGTGAGAGTGAGGGCAGATCTCAAGGGTCCCTCGCTATTCTGTGGTTTGATTCCTTGAGATGTGGGACTTTACCTTCTTCTTCAGCCTGAACATCGTCTTCAACATCGCCCTCCTGATCCTCCTCTCCCTGAAAAGAAAAACACCAAGAGTGAATGATTTCCAACGGTGTAACAAGGTTGCATTTGACAAACTAACCTCGTGAACTGCTGCTCTGTCGGCACCATAAAACAGTTAGAACCTTGCACAGCTTTATTCAACATGAAACATGATTTTGTGGACGTTCAGACAAAATCAAAACAGTAAGAGTTTGAAATATCCACTGGCCTGAGTCCAGAGATTAACCCTAGCTCCCAAGACATTTTTGCTGGGATGTAACCTCAATCCTGCAAAATCCTCCATTTTGCAAAGAGGATTTTGGAGGATTTGGGAAGGTTAGGGTTAAAGTGCTTGTCAAGAGCTTTCTGTGACTGAAGTAGACCAGTGACCTAGAAGTTTTTCACCTTCTCCTGATGACGAACAGAGCACACTGTTCGAAACATCAAGTTTAAACAACTGGTTCTTCTCAGAATCACACAACTAGAAAGAGACATTATTCACATGGTGTTACCAACAGAGTTGATGGATGAACTTTGTTTTTGCGTTTAGAGCGGCACGAGACTGCACTTGACTTGCCTCCTGTGCAGTAAAGCGGGCGTTATCCAGAGATACGATCATGTCTTCCTCGCCTTCGTCTGTGGCTGCTTCCATTTCTGGTTCATCTTGGCCTGCATCTGTTACCTCCAGATCACCATAGATGTCTTCCTCCTCCTTAACGAACAAGGAGGCAACAAGAATAAGAAAAACAGATAGTTTATGATGCATAGTACCAGACTTTTTCTTGTCTTACTTTAAGGGTACTTCCAGAACTGTAAGGTTTTTACAAACCTTACAGATAGGCCGATGTAAAGTTGTATGACAGAAAATGTTCAATTTTTCTGACCTCCAAACTCTCCTGTTGCGAAATGTTAGGCCCCAGTATGTCACATGTATTACATTGACATGGCTAGGTACCTATAGGGTGGGTTCAAATCCCTAATATGTCAAACAAAACTGTAAAATTTACCAGAATATCACTTTACCAAGATCACAGGAGTCTCCACTAGGCCGTCTGTCATCGTTTGTTGTTGACTGAGGGCACTTTAATTATCTTCACCAACTACAGTGTGGCTTTCATTCTCTGTCTCGCCTAATATTTTTTCTGTTTTAAATGTCTGTCATACAACTTTACAATGGTCTATCAGTTCTGGAGGTACTCTAAGGTGCTCTAAATGGACAGTCATGAAATTCCTTAACCCTAACCCTCCAGTGTATTTTGGCTAGAAACCCTGCCAAACACAGCAACATGCAACACTTGCCTAAAAAAACAAGCCTGCCCAGTGCAGCAAGATCCATCAGGCCGAAAGTCTCAAGGCCCAACTGCCACAGAGTCTGTGGTCACTGAATGTAGCAGGATACAACCGAGGCATTGTTCTATGAGACTAGCTCTCATTGTCTCAAAGTGCCCTGGTGTTGGTAGCTGAATGCATCAAAGTGCACCAGACTATTCCACCTGATGCACTGTGTTGCGTCAGGCAGGGTTAGGGTTTATATTCTCTCAGATAATGATCATAACTGATCCCATTCAAACATTTGTTTTCGAGCCACATACTAGATTCTCTTCGTCGGAATCTTCGATGAGTTCCATGACAATATCATCATCTTCCTCATCTTCAACCGTCACGTCGTCTGTATCCCCATCGTTGGCCGATTCGTCCATCTCCCCTTGCTCGGTTGCTGTGGCATTTTCATAAGAAAAAGAAAAAGGAAAGGGGGGGGGGGGAATTAAAATCAAACATGAATTCACGTTAAAGGTACAGTCCATCATTTGTAATACGTGCACCAACAAAAGTGCTGAAAATCTAAAGAAGGGTGCTTAACGACCAGCCTGTTAACGACTAACCTAATGAAGTTTTAGCTTTATACAAAAACTGTTTATGACACTTACGAAATGTCTTAGAAATTCTTGGTGATGACGGCAGTTCAATCAGGATGGTGTCAGGGTCCTCTCCGTTTTCTCTGAGTGCCTGGAGATAAGTTGTGAAATAAATATTATAATATAAAAAAATAGGAGTATCAATTTGACAAACAATGGAGATATCATTTAAAACATGAGAAAGAAATACCTTATAGTGATACAGAAAATGACACAGAAAAAAATTGTGCAGCACAACTGCAAATTATCTGTTAGGGCTGTGCATCAAAACTGGGTACCAGTGTACCTGCATGCTGATGACAGGAACTGGTTCCCGATTAAGAAATCGAGTACCCATAACCAACTTTACATGTAACTAAGCAACTTCTCAGACAATGAAAAACAAAAAAGTTTTGAATGTCAGTTGTGGAGAATTTTCAAAATCAAAACCAATCTACATGAACAAACAAAACAGATTCACGTTTATGACGCTTGTGAAAATGCAATTTATACATAAAGCTATGTATGTACAGTCGAATCTCGTTAGTACAAACTCTGTTGATGCAAAATTCTGTTTATAACAAACATAAAGCCTTAGTCCCGACTGTGCATTTTAATGTGCACAATGAATGGGACTGATGTTCCTCTTAATACAAAATTCTGATATAACAAACAATTTGGCTAGGTCCGAACGAGTTTGTATTAACGAGACTCGACTGTATTGAGCTCACTGTACACACTTGTATCTTGTATTGATGCACACATGTGGTAGAAGTATCGTGCGGACCTTTATGAACAATCTGTACAGCACTTCCGCGATTTTCGGTTTGCTCGGCGCGCGCCGAGCGAACCGAAAGTCATCATCGATCATAAGTGCGGGCACGTTTCAAGTGTCAGGTAAAAACTCGGTGCAGAAAGGGCATATTTTCATCATTTTGGCCTAAAAACTGACAGAATCCACTGATGTTTGTTGGGTGCGATTTACGTGAGTATGTCAGGAGACAGGAGGTACAGTACGGAGTTTAGGGGCAAACTGTACAGCGTTTCTGTGGGAAATGGGTTGGCTTTGATGTAGTCCGAGTAACTTGGACCCAACTTATCGCCTTTTTTAACATTTGGACATGGTCTGGCGATAGTAAGGTCCAAGCTAATACCGCGACCTAGACAACACAGTCCCAAAAACCAACATTTTCCAACAAAAACATCAGATTTCACCTTCAAAACGGCCTCCAAATTACTAGATATGCCATCTGAGGTACAAGTAGACATCGATAATTAAGATGGTTGTACTGAAGTTTACTTACGATCCGGAAAAAAGTGAAATTTTCCGTTCATTTCGGAGAGCTCCCCTCGCGATCTTGAACACGTTAAATTTCCGATCGTGTTTAATGTTTGAACGACGCGATTTCTTCTACATGCCCAGCGTACATTCGATGGTCCCCGTATCCCGAGTGCGATTCCGTTACCGAGCGCGCGCGATGCATCGATTATGATAATGAGTAGACTGGATCACGTTTGTAAACACATGTGCATTTCAAACGATAATAGGGAGTCGGGAACTAGCGCAGCTTTTTTGGCGGGTACTAGCCCCACTAGTGTGGCCATCGGTATGCTGCGCTGAACCTCTAGCCACACACCGTGGTACCGCGCGCTACTGAGGACGAAGTTTCATAAAATCTGCGGTCCGTTTCTTACATTCTCAGTTTCTTACTTTCTTATGGTTGTATTCTATGATGTTTCACCTATCACTTTTGGGATGCTTAGGTCTAATGATGTTCCATTTTCCGAGATATTCTTCAATCTTTCTGGAGCCCATTATGCACTCGTGAAACGTCTGGTGATGGCAGCCATTTTGAATGGACAAGAGATGACCTCAAGCTGTGACGTCGCGTTTATGCAAATTGCTTGTCAAGCGCGCGAGGGCGCGAGTTGCAAATGCGACGGCTGTTTCCTGTGCCGTAGATCCCGAATAGAGATCGGTGCACGTGGCCCCCTGACGATAAATGCATGGTAAAGTTAATAGTGGGGCTAGGCGGGTACCAGTTCAAGCTGGTTCCCGATTCCCTTTTACAGTTCGAAATGCACATGTATGTGTTTACAAACGTGATCATTATCATAATCGATGCATCGCGCGCGCTCGGTAACGGAATCGCACACGGGATACGGGGAACATCGAATGTACGCTGGGCATGTAGAAGAAATCGCGTCGTTCAAACATTAAACACGATCGGAAATTTAACGTGTTCAAGATCGCGAGGGGAGCTCTCTGAAATGAACGGAAAACTTCACTTTTTTCCGGATCGTAAGTAAACTTCAGTACAACCATCTTAATTATCGATGTCTACTTGTACCTCAGGTGGCATATCTAGTAATTTGGAGGCCGTTTTGAAGGTGAAATCTGATGTTTTTTGTTGGAAAAATGTTGGTTTTTGGGACTGTGTTGTCTAGGTCGCGGTATTAGCTTGGACCTTACTATCGCCAGACCATGTCCAAATGTTAAAAAAGGCGATAAGTTGGGTCCAAGTTACTCGGACTAGCTTTGATGGATGTTTTTGTACTTTATTGGCGTTTTGTAGAACTAGAAGCAAACAATTTTGCAGGGTAAGTTGTCTATAGTATGATTTATGCGTTGTGGGGCGCTTGTACGACAGACATGACAGACCACATCCCAAATGTCAAAAAAGGAGTTCTATCGCCCCAGTTAGTGGGTCTAGACACTCTAGTGTGGCCTATATTTACAGAGGTAGTCGGTAATTCGGCTACATGGGGCTAGTTTGGGCCCAAGTTGACTCGAAACCGTAACTAAGCATGTTAAGTACTTGGGCCTAAGTAATACACAAAAAACGCCCTCAACGTTCATCGAAAACGCACACAGTGCATAATGCCAAAACACGGTCAACGTTTGGGGTCGATTATCAAAATAATTCTCACCCCCTGCAGCCTTTCAAGCAAAACAGCTTTGATGCCTTTTTGCTCCAAGCCCCTTTTTTCCAGTTCTGCTCGTAGATCTTTCACCAGAAGTTCTGATATCTTCTTTCTGACCTCGGTTTCTGCCATCATCGCCGCTTATCCGACAACGCGTGCATATGCAGAATGTCTGATTTTAGTGTGGTCTCGAATTGCACTTCATTTACCCGTACCGTATTGTGTGAACGCGTGAGTGGAATTACAGGTGCCAGACGAGAACATCACATGGGTGGTAGTGACGTCATGAAAGTCCACTCCGCCCAAAAATCGGACAGAAACAGCGCGCTGCCCCCGACTATAAGAGGACACACAGGTCCAAAAGTTGTTCTTTTTTTCAGGGAATGAAATCCAAAAGTTAGAAGTCACAAATTGCAAATGCTAGATCTTAAATATTTCTACAATCCCCCCATCTGACCCAACGGTAAAGGCCATGGGCGTCGCCAGGACTTTTTCTAGAGGGGGGCAAAAAATTGTTTTGCCAAAAAATGCTTGTATTTCTCAACACATTCTCGATTTATCGGTTTTAGAGGGGGGGGGGGGCAGGGACATTTTGCCCCCCCCCCCCCCCCCCACCCAACTCATTCAATTTACACCACTATGAATTCGCGCCTCTTTTTCTTTTCTTTCTTTTTTTTCTTTCTTTTTTCTTTCTTTTTTCTTCCTTTTTTCTTCCTTTTTTTTTCTTTCTCTTCCTTTTCCGGGGGGGGGGGGGGGGGGGCAAGTGCCCCCTTGCCCCCCCCCCGCGACGCCCATGGTAAAGGCCATAAGAACCTGTTTTATAATGATGCTCGCTTATATATACACAGTTGAGTCCGCACCCTGAAAAAACGTATACATTGTAGCCGTTATTTTCATGTGAGTTCAAAAACCCAGATCTCTATCCATGTATCCTTTACCGAGTATTTCTACTGATAACTTCAAGATATCCAAAATTCGAGATATAGCCCTCCAGGTATAGGGGCATGGCAGTCCGAACTGGAAAATGGCACATAATAAAGAAACTCGCGAAAAAAAAGTTGGTCGTATTCTCGGTTCGTACATCAAATTTGCTCCATAAACATTGGGTCTATACGGACTTCAAATTTGTTGGACGTCGTTGCCACGCCAACCAGAGAGGGGAAGTTACGACAGCCCGCTTATCAAAGGTGAAACAGGTAGAGTACTTGCTCGAAGGTCACGAACGGGGAAGGGCGCCTCGCACGACCCCATGCACTCAACGGTGAAAACTTAGTTGCAGAGCCGCTAATTTTTTTTGGGGGGGGGGGCAGGGGGTAAAAACCGTAAACTCATGCAGATATAACATAAAGCAGATTATTCTTGGTGTTTAATAACACCGTCCCACGTACGTGTTTCACGAGAAAATGCCTATAAGTAAGCTTTTGTACATTATACAGGTTCATAGGGATGGTATTTTTACTATTACAAAAGGTCAACGACCACAAAGTTGATTGGGATAGCTGAACTCATCGACCCGATCCACCAAGTTCATCAGGTATCCAAGACGCATACGAGAAGCCAAAGATCCTCAAGCACAACCCTTCAGCTTCCACCTCAACGACATCTGGCTCCCACTCCAAACTGATGGGGCCCCTCCGCCCTAGGTCCTCTGCTATCAGCTCAGACTGATGGGTCTCCTTTACCTATAGGTAGTCTGCAGAACTGTTCCACTAGTACTCAATGGGCAAACAGCTTGTATTTTACGGAAACGAGTGATTTTTGATTTCACGAAGTTATACACTGTGCACTGAATCGGTAATTTTCATTTTCACGAAGTAACACTCATCTTTATTTCACCATTTTAAAGGCTTTTTATTTCTTTTCCCTGCAATCTTACAAGAACACTGATTAATCATTTTCCTGTCCAACGTTTTAAAACGCTTTTATCCAAATGAGTTTTTTTCTCTCGTAAAAGTGGTGTTGTAACTTTGTGAAAACGAAAATCGTTCGCGCCAGCGTCAGATATTATGAGCGCGCACATTTGAGTGTTACTTCGTGAAACTAAAAACTTGCCATTAGCGGTTTTCACGACTAATAGCACTTATGTGCAAGCCCGCGGGAACGGGGGTGCTGTGGGTGCCCCAAACTTTTTGGAGTGGGGTGCTGGAATATGCTTCAGCACCCCCTACTCACAGGAAAAATGTGTTCCAGCCAGCAGTATTCTACGACGATGAAATTATGCACAATCTTTTGACGTTGGGATCATGAACAGCAGAAATATCGTTGGTTCTTGGTTGGTTCTTCTCCTAAATACTCCACGTGGGAGTTTATACAGGAGGCCAGAAGCACCGGGCAAACCCCTTCTCTTAGCGATAAGTGTTTACTGGGTTCTTTTACGTGCATTATACAACACACGGGACCTACAGCTTTACGTCCCATCCAAAGGACGAAACAATAATGGTCAAGTACCTTGCTTAAGAGTGTCCGCCGGCGGGCTCGAACCCACGTCACTCACGGTTGCCTCTGAAACACCAGAACATGAGTCCGGTGCTCGTAACTGCTAAGCCATGATACATGCACTCGGCAGTCAGCACTATTCAACCATACGGTTGCGAAAGCCGATTTCTATAAAGGTTACATAATACTTTATTTTGATGAAACAACATGATCTGTTACAGTATACCTTGTGCAAACATGGGTATGGACCAAAAGACTGAATACGTCTCCACAGAGCAATTTCTATACGTGAATTCGTCTCCACAAGGATATCACGAAATAGCAGATATGGATTTTATTACTCAAAAAGGCATTTCCAAGGTGTGTGTTGATCTGTCCCAAATTGAAGTACGTTGTATTTTATCATGGAGGAATGTGTTCTTATTCCTCCATGATTTTATGTAGGGAATATTCAGTACAAATTTCAGACCAGGAAATTAATTCTGGTAAAAATTTTGAAACTGCATCGTTCAAACTCTGACATTTTAGTACACGAGAACAAAAAAAATGACTCCACATGCAAGGATATATTTTGCACAAAAATGTGGACGGTTGATGTGGGCGATTTTTTTTTAATGAATTTAGGTTTGGGTACGTCCATCATGTCAAACTTGTAACACATGATGTTTAACGCGTACGTACGCTTGCATGCATGCACGCATGCACACAGAGCTACAGCCGGCCACTCATGCGGTTGCGAAGGCAGATTTCTTAAGGTTACGTAACACTTTATTTGGAATGAAACAACAATGCAGACAGACGTTGATGTTCGCCGGCGGGCGAATTCTTTGAAAGTCAGTTTAATTTGTCCCATTTGGAAGACCGTATCTTCGTGCATGGAGGAAGGAACACAACCTCCATGCTTTATGCAACTTTCAGGTTTGTTTCCCTTATAACTGATGCAACTATGTGCTAAAAATCGTTTTGATATGTTCAGTATTTCTCTTTGAAATTAGAAAATATAGGTTAGTACCTCCATTTTCAAACCTGTAACACTGGTGTTTGCAATACAATATCATTTCAAGTCTCACTAATAATTAGGTTCCTATCCATTTTGGTGTGCAGTAAAACAAATTGCACCATCGCCTCCTTCACAAGTTATTAACTAATCGCCATTTTCCCCCAGCTTCCATCGGTGACATCGTTTTTGCCAGCCCTGTGCGCCCATTTGCCGCGCCGGTCGACGTGCCCGCGTGCCGGGCCCGGGCCGGTCCTCGCGGACAAGTCGACCGTTGAGACAACTCGACCGTTGAGACAGGTCGACCGTTGAGACAACTCGACTCGGGACAACTCGACCGTTGAGACTGCTCGACTTAATGGAAATGAATACACGTGGAGCGGAAAAAGTTGCACAAATCTGTGGCAAGACCGATCACGGGTGCGGCGCGGGCATACTCGATGTACAGAGGGCGTCGCGTCGGGCCGGTGCGCCCCACCCGGGCCGCGAGGACCGGCCCGGGCCCGGCACGCGGGCACGTCGACCGGCGCGGCAAATGGGCGCACAGGGCTGGCAAAAACGATGTCACCGTGCACGGTACGGACAAGTTGACCGGCAAATGGGCGCACAGGCCTAGCAAAAACGATGCCACCGTGCATGGTACGGCCACGTTGACCGGGGATGCGCGCACGTGGCCTTGAAAAAAACGAACGATGTGCACGGACAATCACGCTGCGCTATATCGGCTCTGCGAGGCGACTTGTCTCAACGGTCGACTTGTCTTTCCATTTATCGCACATACGGTCGAGTTGTCTCAACGGTCGAGTTGTCTCAACGGTCGACTTGTCCCGAGTCGAGTTGTCTCAACGGTCGATTTGTCTGACCCCCGATACCGAGACCCACATGAAGTCACGCTCCGCCGAGTCGCACTATTGAATATGCTAATAATGCACCTATTATGTTGACGGTGCCGCAAAATCCACGTGTAATTATGGGTTATAGTCCAGCGAAATTTGGCTTGGGAGATCATGAGATTGGTCATGGTGCAACACGAGCGTTTGCTGAAACCAGATTGAGCTGAAATTCAGAGTTTAAAGTGTTCAATTACTCGTGAAATAACAACTTGCGAGGATCCCTAGAAATAGAGATACATGTAAGTAAAACGATTTGGAGACCCTTTCGAACGATTTTCCCCCGATGGCTGTTCCTTGCTCTATGGTTTAGGTCAGCTTTACCAGTGACGTTTCGGCATCAATAATGGCGATTTTTTTTTTCACTTACATGAAGTTTAGAATTTCTTCTTCTGTTACTGAAATTTAACATTTCAATCAGTCTGAGCATATTATCTGAAAGGCAGAACGCTCAAAATGGCATGTTTTTTGGGGGGTGCATTGCTTCCACTGCTGCCGCACTACTTCACAACCACAAGGCTGAAAGCTACATCTCTATAGCTAGAGTATATACGGTGAATGGTGATAACAATGGCGTCGGTCAGTTGCGCAACGAAGTAAACACGAGAGAAAAATAACAACAGAATTCACGTCAATCTGTGAGATATTACTTTAATTGGGTGCAATAAACATGAATATGGCCCAGAGTTCGTGGAAAGAGGGCATGCAGGGAAATTGTACTTGAGGCTTACAACACTTGAATCATCGCCATATGGTAGTCCCACCATGGAGCTTATAGCTCCATGGTCCCACTAACATCGTCTTTGACGTTTATGTGCGTTGTGAGGGAATTAACGGTGTTCCAAACTATCGTATATATTTTCTTATAGCTTCGTGTTTTGTGTGCTTCCGTCAGCATCGCTAATTTTGCCATATATTTTTTTCTGAACAGCTTCATGCAGTGAGTGGGTAATAAAGGAATGAACGTTATAGTTGTTGAAACGAAACCAGTCACAGCATTGTTGGGGCTCAATCATTTAGACTTGTTATGCATGGGTCATGTTCGTACCAGCCAGAAACGGGCCCTGATAGGAATTTAACGTGACAATAAATTGGACGTACAAAATGACGTTGTAACTTGTAAGGGTGCTGCCTTGTTAGCAAGCTCAAAGGGATTGTGTGCAGTGTTAAATATAAAATCAAGTTGACATGTGTTTTTAAATATCACAGGAGCAACATCCGATATACATCATTCATGAAATATGACATTTTGAGAAATTTCCCAAGTTTTCATACGGAAGGTATACAGAGCATATTTTGTTCGTCATGAAACGATTGTTTCGGTGATGTTGACCGTTGTGGGCCAACTCCGAACAAACACTTCCAAAATCATGCATTTTGGGCGATGTATGACAACTGCGCCTGCATGGGTATTACCATATCGCTCCGCAAAGCAAAGCAAACTCTTTCTTCCACCCAGCACTAATCTCATAGGAGTGAGCAACTGAGGTTATGCTGGCCGCCGGGCGCTTTCTATTGTTGCTTTCGAGTGTGGTGATATCACTTTGAAGTAGGGGAGTTCTGACTCCTTCTGTTCCTCGCTCCATGAATTTTCAACGCAACCTCCGTTTTAAAGTTCTGTCCACGGATCACAAAAAGGTAACTGTTCTTTCAGCAAAACGATTACAAATCACATGGGGATGTGTGTGAATGGTTTTCGTTGTGCCGAAAGAACGCACACCTTTTGGTGATCCGTGGACAGAACTTTAAAACGGTGGTCGTGTTTAAAATTCCGTAGCTTGAAAAGTGCATAAGTGATTTGAATGATTCTTGTACTAAAAGAAAGCTTATGAATTGGGCTTTCATATTCTAGATTTTGAAAGTGCTACGTGCAGAACTTCACTAAATCAGTGGTCCCGACATTTGGGTTTCGTTTTTTTTTACTCACAAGTGCACATTACCAATTCGTGCTGAAAATTTCCAATGTGAATTATATACGGTCCTGATCATGATTTCTTACTTTTTTATTTTTCTGCTTTATAGGTCTATTTGCCGACCCTCCACTACAGAGCTGTGCCTTCGTCTCTACCAATTGACAGTCAACACCTACCTGTCTGCTGCTATTTCCTGCAGCTATACCTTCCATTTGTTGAATAAGTAAAGTAGGACAAAGTGAACAGTGTGTTAGTAAGTCTACATCATAGTCAGTTTCTAAGTGTATATACTTGAAACATATTATCATCATGTCGAAGGCAAAAAAGACCATACGGGCCCACCCTGAGAAGGAGTGTTTAACTCAGTGTGCAGTAAAATATTGCAACGCAGACCTCCGCTTCACCAGAATCTATCATGTAACCGGTTTTGATGCGGCTAAGATGCTGTTTGCACACCAGGTTTACGCCATCGCCAGAGACTCTTGCATTTGCGGTAAATGCAACACAAGGATAGCACGGCAGTATAATCAGCCTAAGGAAGCAGGTCCAGTCTACGGAGGGTCTAAACCGAAGAGAGAGCGCAAAGCAACTTGCTTCCTGTCACGTTTTCAGAAGTGCGAGTCAGTCGCTGCCCATGACACTACAGCTGGAGATTGGCCATCATTTGCTGCTTGCTTTGGCTTGCATCAGCATGACCCTGTACCTGTCCATGAAATTAGTTTGTGCAAACTGCACTACGGAAAATGGTACGAGATCAAAAACCAAAATGATTGTTCGTATTGTTTCCGGCGTTTACGAAGTTTACGCGTAAAAAAACGTCATACTATCCCTGACTTTCCAAAGGTAAAAGAATTTTTACAGGAATGTGGAGAAGTGACAGTGGATGAAAACTCCAACATCTGCCACACATGCTACATGAATTTCCGAGATATCGTGGAGATGAGACGAGAATCTAGCGATGAAGAAAGCAGGGGGAAAGTCCCACAGGGTCCCAAGGGATTCAACACGGAATATGGGACATCGCCAATCCCGTTGGGTCATGCAATGGGATCCCGTTGGGACCCCATGCAGTGGTATCCCATTGGGTCCCATAGCAATGGGATCCCATTGCCGATGTCCCAAATTTCACACTGGGTCCCATTGCAATGGTATCCCATTGGGATCCCCGTGCCAATGTCCCAATTTCCACAGTGGGTTCCGTCGATCCCACTGAATGGCAGTGTTGTAGTCGAGGCCACAACCTCCGAGGCCGAGTCCACAACCTCCGAGGCCGAGGCCACAACCTCCGAGGCAGAGGCCACAACCTTCGAGGCTGAGGCCACAACCTCCCAGGTTGGGGCCAAGACCGAGGCCACAACCTCCGAGGCTGAGTCCACAACCTCCGAGGCCGAGGCCACAACCTCCGAGGCAGAGGCCACAACCTTCGAGGCTGAGGCCACAACCTCCCAGGTTGGGGCCAAGGCCGAGGCCACAACATTCCAGGTCAAGTCCGAGCCAATCTTTTAAAACTTGCATTTTTAAATCACCCAAACAAGGCCAGGTTTAGTTGGATTTTTAACATCGGCTTCTGCCATCTCGACGACTTTCATCGTCAGCGTCATCCACTCCTTTGTCAATAGCCGTAGCTGCTCCAAGTTGGTGGTGCTGTGTATAGGCGCTTGCTCACCGTCAATTAACAGTTAAAAAGTAATTAACTGGAAGCATGTGATACAAAAGAGCCGTATCTATTTGACTCTTATCATCTCAGAAACTTTGCTTCAATAAATGCAGAAAGCCTTGAACCATTGAAATTCTCAGGATTGCGTTGAAAGTTGTCTCACAGTTTATAATTTGTACAACATTATTTTAAGGTTGAGAAAAAGATGATTTTCCACAAACATGTAAAATTGTTTTTGCGGGTAAAAGTTTGGGATAAAAATGGAAAGGTTTTGCTTTGAATTTAAATATAAATGCCTCTTATACGTTCAATGTAAAAGTCTTGTTTAAAAATAGGCAAGAAATCATGCTATAAAACGGTAAAGGCACAGGCGTCGCCATATAATTTTGAATTGGGGGTACAATCATGAAATTTGTCGACGGACCCTTCCGCCAAATGAGTATAAATGATAATTTCCGCCCAAAATGATCCCTTTAACTCCATTTCGAATTATTGCATAAATATATGAATGGTTAATTATGTTGATTCCTTTGAATGGATTTATTTTCAGTGGGATAAGTTCAACTTCAAAAGTAAATCGTCAAAATTTGGCCCTGTCATATTGAAAAGTTTTAGACATTATTTTGCTCGTCGCAAAACTACGTGATATACACGGACGTGTGCGCATACATTGTTCAGGCCCTTTCCCTGATCCCAGACTGGGGGGGGGGGGGGAGTTCTTTAAATCCTAAAGTTGAACTTTTTATTTGCGAGTGCGAAGCCCTGAAGGCGTGTGAGGTCCGGGGCCCGCTTAAGGGACACGGAATTTTTGGATTGTCTAGATGCTCTGTGGTGCAATCTGAGGCATTTCTTGGCCACGTTCTCTGACGTTTTTGATTTGAAGTTTTAACTTGGTTTTTAGGTCAATTTTAGTCTTTACTTTTAGTCTTGGTTTTCGTGGTTTTGGTTTTACAATAATGTGGTCATTTTCTTTTCAATTGAAGTTCTTGTAAATTAATTCTTGTTGTCCGGGGAGGGGGGGGGGGATTTGAAGAATTTGTGTCTGTGACTCTATCTATTATTTCAATTCCTCGCGAAGAGAAGATACTTAATTTAGTGTAGCTGGTCAGTAAATCCCCATATGCATGTCTAATAATTGCGAGTTTCCCCAAAGTGTGTCATTTTTCTAGGTAACACGGGACCCCGACCCCACGCAATCAGGGCTTCGCGCTCGTAAAAAAAGTTCCAGACCCCCCCCCCCCCCCCCCCCCCGTCTGGGATCTGGAAACGAGCATGCGCCCAGGTACTGAGCGTCAACACGTAGTTTGGTGACGAGTAAATGCCCAACAATTTATAATAAGATATCAAGGAAATGGCCCGATCAGAACGTTCGAACATGAATATATTATAGCAACGTTACGTGAATTGGTCGAACAAAATATTGGACGCATTTTGTCCTTTACATGTTTTTAAGATTTCTTACCAAAAGGGTGTTGAATCGGAATAAATTGTAATTGAGCATACGAAATTAAAACGTTTGTTATGTCGTCATCATTATCTCGATATGAGCGAGTCGCCCAGAGGTAGTCACGAACGGGAATTTGTTTGTTTCGTCACTAGTATCTCTACTACATGACTGTAGTAGACTAAGGCCTGTTCTTTAAACAGCGTGCCACTACCGTATACCGAACTAAATTGATTTGAGCTCATGCAAGTAGCTCGGCTATAGATCTTTATTATGCTGCAAACATTTCAGTCATGTTCCCTGTATCGAATAACAGTACTGAAGGATAATGGTTTTTGTGCAAAAAGGAACCTAGACTATTTTCCCTTCCAGCCTCAAATCAAGATGGCCGCAGCATGATAATAGTATATAGCACAGTTCGTTGCTCTAAACACCGAACTTTATAAACTTAGTCGAACTAAATTATCCAGCAGCGAATCTCACGTGCAGTGCACCAATTTTTCAATGCATGCGGCACTGAGGGCAATACAGTTTGTGTGCAATTTAGCAATTCAAAATTTCAAATGGCAGGGGGCACCCGGAGAATGGACCGCTGCTGGGGAGAACATGACCCCCATTTCCCTTTTTTTAACCCATTTAAAAAAAAATTCTGCTAGCAGAAATTAATGGAATTTATTTGTACGACTCTCTTAGCGTCCCAAAAGTATAAGACTAAAATATCAGTTCCCACTAGCAGAAAAGGTTGAACATATTGCAATGCGGAAACCAGAATCTCCTATTTTGGTGTTGGACTGAAAAGTGGACCATGTACAAAGTCGCATTTTGTACGACGCCCATAGAAAACCACACTAGGACAGACTCCACCAGGATACGTTTTCAGGTCAATATGACCCTTCTACGAGGCTAACAAATCTATTTTTCGAGGTGATCACTTAAAAGTAGCCTGTGGACTGTAAAAAACAAACTGAACAAAGCAAATAATTATGTTACAGCAAAAAGAAGTCAGATTTGTATAGAACTGGCTTGTTTGTGGGAAACTCCCTCCGCTCCCAACGTGTTTTCGATTATTTTGAGACTAAAAAAAAAAACTGGATTGCGCGTGTGGAAACAACCAGAGGTGGGATTTGAACCCACGACTCTAAGAACTTTATAAGTCTCATGTTCTACCAACTGAACTACTCCGGGACGACGTATCCACACAGCTTAGCCAGCAACCCTAGTGGAAAAATAACCCTTTTTATTTCATACATGTGAGGACACGCAATATCCTGCAATAGTTGCATCAGATAGATTGTGTCATGAGACGACCATAATACTAATGCATCGGTCCTAACCAATAATGTAACAAAAAATGTCCGATAGTGTAGCCTTTATTACTACACCCTCGGTCAATTTGTGTGACATTATCGGTTGGTGATACTTTATCCGTTGGTTACTACATTATCAGTTGTATTCGGACTATCGGACATTACAGTCTTTGCGGACTATCGAACCTTATTGTAAATTCGGAATAATGAACCTTCGGACTATTGAACCTTAGTTTCGTTTCGGACTACTGAACCTTCGGACTATTTATACTGTGCACCCAATGCGTCACCACCGCGTTCTGCATGCAATTTCCTGTTATAGTTGCGTCATGCAGAGCTCTATGGTCATGCACAGTGACGCTATAATCTGCCCGGTGGCGCGCCCCCCCCCCGGGGGGGGGGGGGGGGGACACACACACATGTTTACGTTACATACGTAGTGTGGACATTCCTTTGTTTTCGTGAAGTTAAAAAGAACGTGAAAAAAACTCATTTTACTCACACTGTGAAAACTTTTTTTGTGATTCCCTTTAGTGTTTCTCTTCTCATTTTGCCACTGATAAACCTAACCCCAAAATGCCTCTGAACCTGTTTTCCAGAGAGGGGGGAACACTGTGTGGACGTGGGTAAATCCACACAACGTCGCTGCTATACCTGGTTTGTGTGGACCTCTTTTGTTCGGAAGTCCACACAGTGAATGTAATGCTTGTACACACGTACAAGTGTGTATTTGTCCCTCTTTTGTTTGTACTCTAACTATTTAGGGAGACCTCCCATACGTTTTGTACACGATCGTAAATTGGGGACCTCCGGGAATTGGGGACTCAATTGTCCTCTATTGTTCACCGTCTCCTATTGAATGCAGAACAAATTCACACACACTCATACAACTTAGTGTGTATTTGCCTTGCAATTGGGGACCGGTCCCTATTGCCCCTCTTTTGTTTGTACTCTTAACTTTTTAGGAAGACCTCCCATACATTTTTTACACGCCAAATTGGGGACCTTCGGGAATTGTGGACCCACATGTCCCCTATTGTTCAACGTCCCCCATTGAATGCTAAAACAAACTCACGTTTAATGAAATAATGGAGCTTATATGTTTATAATAGGCCGAAAGCTGATGTGACCCACCATATTTCCCGCCACAGCATGTAATATAGCATACAAGGAAAAAGAAAGAACAGAGGCATTTCTTTATTAATATGAGAGCATTAACTTAAGGTTAACGTTAGTCGTCCACCATAGATCAATCATAACAAAAATGCTGGATTGCGCGTGTGGATTGTGTTAAGGTGGGAATCGAACCCACAACCTTAAAGGCCGAAACTTTATATTCTACCAATGAATTACTCAACGAAGTATCCACACTGCTAAGCCAGCACCAGCAGTGTTGAACAAACCCTTTTATAGTCTACATTGGATGGAACACGATTACGATGACTGTACTGAGAGTTGCATCATGTTTTTGCACGGATGCCGCGGCTATAGACCTATATCATGCATGCTGCCACCATTTTCCCTGTATCCAATAGTACTGAATGATAATGGTTTTTGTGTAAAAAGGAAACAGACTATTTTCCTTCCAGGATTTGTATGGGAAACAAGATGACAGCAACGTGGTCTACAGACCTTTCTTTTGTTTGTAAATCATCGAGCGCCAGGACTTTATCACTTTTGCACAATATAATAAAGTATTCGATGCGACCTCGTACCCATCCATAACCTATGGTGATCTATATCTGCCATCTCACCTATCGCATCTCGCATATACAGGCATGACACATTTCGCATGTCGCATTCCCCTCCCCTCTCTGATGTCGCAAGTCGTCATTCCCGTATTTCGCATGTTGCAGGATGCACGAGTGTGTATTTGCCTGCAATTGGGGACCCCTATTATCCCTCTTTTGTCTGTGCTCTAACTTTTTAGGAAGACCTCCCATACCTTTTTTACACGATTCCAAATTGGGGACCTTTGGGAATTGGGGACCCTATTGTTCTCTATTGTTCAACGTCCCCCATTGAATGCTGAAACAAACACGTAAATGAAATAATGTTTATAATAGGCCGAAAGCTGATGAGAGTCACGAGACCCACCATATTTCCCGCCACAGCATTCAATATAGCACACATGGAAAAAGAAAGAACAAAGGCATTTCTTTATTAATATGAGAGCATTAACTTAAGGTTAACGTTAGTCGTCCACCATAGATCAATCATAACAAAAATGCTGGATTGCGCGTGTGGACTGTGTTAAGGTGGGAATCGAACCCACAACCTTAAAGGCCATAACTTTATATTCTACCAATGAATTACTCAACGAAGTATCCACACTGCTAAGCCAGCACTAACAGTGTTAAACAAACCCTTTTATACTATACATTGGATGGAACACGATCCCGATGACTGAGAGTTGCATCATGCACCGATGCCGCGGCTATAGACCTTTATCATGCATGTTGCCACCATTTCAGTCATCTTCCCTGTATCCAATAGTACTGAATGATAATGGTTTTTGTGTTAAAAGGAACCAGACTATTTTCCTTCCAGCCTCGCTTTGGTTACGTTGATTTGTATGGAAAAACGAGATGACCGCAACATGGTCGTTGGACCTTTCTATTGTTTTTAAATCATCGAGCGCCAGGACTTTATCACTATAGCACAATATAATATAGTAGTCAATGCGACCTCGTACCCATCCATAACCTATGGTGATCTATATCTGCCATCTCACATATCGCATCTCGCATACAGGCGTGACATGTCGCAAGTCGTCATTCCCTCATTTCGCACGTTGTAGGATGCGCGTATGGATGGTGTTAAGGTGGGAATCGAACCCACTCCTTAGGGACCCTGACCTTTAATCCAACAAATGAACTACTCAACGAAGTACATGTACATGTATATCGACACTGCTGTTGACAAAAGAATAAAGTCACGTTTTATTAATTTGCTAATATGGTAGAAAACAACCAATAACTTAGCATGGCTATTTAGCATAATGGAGGGGAACAAACGCGTAGTTTCTGGAGAAAAAAACACTCGTGGGCTTTTTTGTGGAGGGGCAAATTGAGAGACTCGAATTGGGGGGGGGGGGGGGATGACGTGCCCACCAGCCGCCCCCTATGCCCTGTGGTTAAAACCCATTTTACCCAGTGCAAGTACTTGCATCTGACTTTATCGCCCCACGTGCCATCAAATAACACTTAATTATAACCCATTTTAGATTATTAAAACATCAGTTTTTCAATGTCAAATGCAAAATAACCCCCAAAACACAAATCGCGTTTACAGATACGAGCGTCACAGATGCTTAATATATAATATAGTTCTTTTTTTGAAGGGTCGAAAAAGCCCCCGACTCCAGTCAAAGAAGGGAGAGGAAAGAAAGGAAATCGTATAGAGGGCACATATAGTTTTAAGGTTTGTTCACCGTAAAATCGAGGCCAGAAAAATTCAATAATCAAATCAATTATGTCATGGAGCTTATGATAGGCCGAAAGATGGTGTGACACACCCCATTTTCCGCCACAGCATTCAATACCATAGATGGAAAAAGAAAAGAAGGGGCAAAACAGGCATTTCTGAATTAATATGAGAGCATTAACTTAAGGCCAAAAAAAAATAAATATTCGGTCTCTGGTCAGACCAAAGTTCCGGAATTGACGCGGCCACGCGGCTTTTTTTTTTTTTTTTTCTTTTTTTTTCTTTTTCTTTAAGCTTGGATTGTACAGACAAGGTAGGTACTATTTTGCTTTTTTGGTGTCCTCATGTACATTGGTGTCCTCCATATTTTGCCTTGGTGCTTTCGATCATTTGCCTTGGTGCAATTTCCCATTCCTTGGTGCTCTTTGGTTAAAAAAATTGAGGAGGTGCGGAAATAGAGGGCGCTGTTGGAGCTACCGCGGAACATTTTGGGAAAAAAAAAAAGATCGACGCGCATGATTAAAATCGACGCGCGCGCTGACTAGAGACCGACTTATTTTTTTTTGGCCTAAGGTTAGTTGTCCACCACCGATAACAAAAATGCTGGACTGCGCGTGTGGATTGTGTGTTAAGGTGGGAATCGAACCCACAACCTTAAAGTTACTAGCTTTATATTCTACCAATGAATTACTCAACGAAGTATCCACAATGCTAAGCCAGCATGCAACAACCGTGTTTAAACAAACCCTTTTATTACATTGGATGGAACACGATGATTTCGATGACTGTATTGAGAGTTGCATCATGCACGGATGCCGCGGCTATATAGACCTTTGTATTGTTTGTAAAACATTGAGCGCCAGGACTTTATCACTATATAGCACAAGATGATAAAGTATGCAATGCGACCTCGTATACCCATCCAAAACCTTTGGTGATTACCTTTGGTTTAATAGCTATATTAAATTACTAATAGCTCTATAATGGTGATCTATATCTACCATCTCGCATATCGCATCTTGCATACAGGCATATCGCACGGCACATTCATGTCGCACCTCCCCCTCTACCCCTCTCACAATGGACCGATCCAGTAAGCACCACCCCATGGTATTCTGACCAATCACAGCCGTGATTTATGTCCGACATGCGTGCACAAAAGTCCGACACATGCGTGTACGCGCGTATGATGCGCGCGGCAGGAATTATGCAGTGTGGCATTGGAGAGGAGCACGTGTTAATTGGTCGTGCGCAGTGGGAGGGGCTTACTGGATCGGTCCATTCATGTCGCAAGTCGTCATTCCCGCATTTCGCACGTTGCATTGGACAGCACGTGTGGATGGTGTTGAGGTGGGAATCGCACCCACAACCTTAAAGTCTGAAGCATTATATTCTACCAATGAATTACTCAACGAAGTATCCACGCTGCTAAACCAGCACTGACTAATATGC